TTCCTCACACCCTGGAGCAGAGACCAAGAAGTGTTTTCTAGGGAGGAGGGAGAAGTGATCTCTCTCCTGGTAAAATCCGCTCGTTCTGTGAGGAGTCACAAGGCACCAGGATGTTTGTGGTCGTAGAAATCCCCTCACCTGGCAGGTGTGTCCATCCTGGGGGGGTCAGGGCACATCTCCCAGCTCTGCATTTTGAATTTCTGAACCATCTGGAATGCTTTCAGCTGCTGAAGCAATGGCCAAGAACGCAGCAACCCGGGCCAGGCTGGACATTTCTCCTCGTGAGGGTGCTGAGGCCCTGGCACAGCTGTGGCTGCCTCATCCCTGAGGTGTCCAAGGCCAGGTTGGAGCAGCCTGGCGTGGTGGGAGTGTTCCTGCTCGTGTCACAGGGAAAATCTGTGTTTTTCAGCCCAAATCTTTCAATATCCCTGAGCCCAGGGTACAGATTTGGGTGCTGGTGTGAGCAGCACAGGACAGAGGGAAGTGTGGGTGCCAGCGGTGGGGAGGAATGGCTGATGACTCCAGGAATGCCACATGTGGGGGAGCAGAAAACCCCAGGAATGGAAGCAGGGAAACGGTGGCAGCCAGCACAGGAGGCAGGAAAGGTCCCTCATCCTGGCCATAAGCAGGGCTGGGTGTTAACTCCCAGGATTATCCTGCCCCAGAGGCAGGAGGGTCCACACCTCTGACAGAAAACCCCGCTGGAAACTCCTGCTGCTCGTGCAGAATGTCTCACTGCTGGGAGGAATTTGTTCCCTGTCCCTGGAACATTCCTGGGAGCAGAGCTCCCACCTGCCATCCCCTGCCAGCCCTCAGCCTGCCTGTCACCACCTCCCCTGCCACTCTCCCCTCTCCTTTCCCTTTTGCCCCCATTCTCCACTTTCCTTTCATCCCTTTCCTTCCCTCTTGCCGTGTCTCTGCCATCTCCAGGCTCCCAAACTCATCTCACCTGTGCCCCACCAGCACTTGTGGCTCGGGCTGAGCCTCCAAAATCCTTTTAGGGGTCATTCCTCCCCCAGCACTCTGTGGCCAGAGCCTCCCTCTCTCCCTGCTCCCTTCCCCCTCCTCCTTCCCTCCCTCCCATAATATTTTCCATATGAAGAAGCCTTCCCAAAGCCTCACACTGCCCTCTTGGCGAGTCTCCGGCGGGTTAGAGGAGACCCTGGGAGCCTTTAATCCTCCCTCTCTCTCTTGCTTTCATCCTCAGCCGCAGCTGGACGCCCCATTGATGTGGAACAGACCAAACACCCCTCACTAAGCTGCTGCTGTGGGGCCTCTTCTCCTCCGGCTCTCCGAGCGGGGTCCGGCGGGTCTGGCAGCCCCTCCCCACCAGCCTGGGGGTCCCAGCTTCCCCCTGCCCCTCTCCCCTCTCCCTGAGCCATCCTTGGCCACTTTATCCTGAGAGTCCCCCCCATTCTCGTTCTCCCTCATCCCAAGATTTCCCTTCCCGGGGTTGTTTGGGATGGGTGCCCCCCGTCCCTGCAGGGTGAGGCTGAGGGGCTGCTCTGTGCTGCTGTGCTGAGGATGCAGCTCGGGGCTGTGTGCCAGGGAGGGCCTGGGGGGATCCTGAGAGACCCCCAGACTCAATACCCGAGTCAGGTGTCGGGTCTGCAATCGCTCAGAGGTTTGGGAAGAAGCGTTTTTCCAGCCCGCTGCAGTGAGGCAAGAATCTGTTTGAGTTGTGAAATGGTTTTTGGGTTGGAAGGGATGTGGAAGATCACCCAGTGCCACCCTGGGACGCCTCCCACCACCCCAGGGTGCTCCAAGCCTGGAGCTCCCTGTGAGGGTGGGCAGGCCCTGGCACAGAATTCCCGGAGAAAATGTGGCTGCCCCATCCCTGGGGGTGTCCAAGGCCAGGCTGGACAGGGTGGGGGGACAGGAGGGTGACAAAATAAATGCCACCAGCCAGGTGAGAGCAGCAACAGAGGACAGGCTGGCCTTGGGCACTGCCGGGCATCCAGGGGCTGCTCTGGTGTCTGACAGGAATTTCCATCCTCCTCCTCCCAAAGCTCCCAGCGTGGAGGAGGGGACAAAGTGGGGACAAACTGCCGTGTTTGGGGACCCGCCTGTCCTCAGGTGATACACGGGGAATGGCACAAAGCCACCCGAGTGTCACAGACACGGTGACACGGTGACACTGTGACACTGTGACAGGGGCTGTGGCTCCCCTGGATCGCTGCGGGTGTCCCAGGCCAGGCTGGATGGGGCTTGGAGCCACCCGGGCTGTGGCAGGGGTCCCTGTGGTGGCAGGGTGGCACTGGGGGTGTGGGGAGGTGTCCCAGGGTGGCACTGGGGCTGTGACAGGGCTGTTAGTGGGGGGGTGACAGGGGTGGCACAGGGCGCTCGATGCGGTCCCAGGGTGGCACTGGGCTGTCTCAGGGTGGCACTGGGGGTGTGACAGGGGTGGCACTGGGCTGTCCCAGGGTGGCACTGGGCTGTCTCAGGGGTGCCAGGGTGGCACTGGGGGTGTGACAGCGGTGGCACTGGGATGTCTCAGGGGTGTCACTGGAATGTTTTAGGGGTGTCACCAGTGCTCTCGGTACCGTCCCAGGGTGTCACTGGGGTTGTCTCAGGGGTGTCACTAGTGTCTCCTGGGTGTCACTGGGATGTTTTAGGGGTGTCACTGGGGTCTCTCAGGGTGTCACTGGGGGCTCTCGGTGCTGTCCCAGGGTGTCACTGGGCTTTTTTAGGGCTGTCACTGGGATGTTTTAAGGCTGTCACTGGGATGTTTTAAGGGTGTCACTGGGGGCTCTCAGGGGTCTCACCGGGCTGTCTCAGGGGTCTCTCCGGGCTGTTTTAGGGGTCTCACGGGGCTGTCTCAGGGGTCTCTCCGGGCTGTTTTAGGGGTCTCTCCGGGCTGTTTTAGGGGTCTCACCGGGGCTGTTTTAGGGGTCTCACCGGGGCTGTTTTAGGGGTCTCTCCGGGCTGTCTCGGGGGTCTCTCCGGGCTGTTTTAGGGGTCTCTCCGGGCTGTTTTAGGGGTCTCTCCGGGCTGTTTTAGGGGTCTCTCCGGGCTGTTTTAGGGGTCTCTCCGGGCTGTTTTAGGGGTCTCTCGGGGCTCTCGGTGCCGCCCCCGCCCGCGGGACTCGCGCTCTCCCCGGGGCTCATTCCTGAGCCTCCCCCGCCCCCTGGCGGCCGCGCTCCGCCACTGCAGCGCCCTCTGCTCCAAAAACCCCAAAAACCCCAAAAAACCCCAAAAAAACCAAAAAAACCCCAAAACCCCCCAAAAAAACCCCAAAACCCCAAACCCCGATATTTTCAGAAAAGTCTCACCCAGAGAAGCTTCTGTGAGTGTGACAGCAGCCAGAGTCAATGACTGCAACCAGCGGCAGTTCCAGGATTTCCTGGAAGGCAGCAAAACAGGGATGGTTCCATCCTTGAGCTCCAAAGGAACTTTGGAGGATCAAACCAGTCAGGGAAGAGGTGGGTTGATAACAGAGTTCAGAGAAAGGGGGGGGAAAATGATCCGAGTTGTCAGGAACTTATCTGAGGAGGGAAAATTGAAATATTTGGGGTGCAAACATCTGGAGAAGGACTGAGGGGAAGGATCTGATCTCTGAGGTCACAGTGGGCACAAAGACATTAAATTGGAGCTCGGCATCAAAGAGCAGGGAGAGGCAGAGCTGGGAGGGGTGTTCAGATGGGGCTGCTGCAGCACTGGAACAGGAAAACGCTGCAACCTCAACTGCTTAAAGACATCTTTAGAAATGCCATGGACAGGCCTGATGCTGCTGTGTCACTGGGCTGGATGAAGTGACCTCCTGAGATGACATTCATCTTCTTCCCTGTGATTCTATAATTAAAATCACATTGATCCTCGGCCAGAGATGCAGCAAAAGGCCCAATTCATTACATTCCTGCTGCTCCAAGATGCCAGGCCCTGCATGGGCATCTCCTCACGAGCTGTCCTGCCCCACAGAGCCTCTCCCCTGGGCCAGGACCTCCCGTGGGTGCAGCAAACACCGTGGGAAGGGCTGGGGAACAGATCTTGGCTCTGTTTGGAGGCAGCCACTTACAGCAAGTGAACTAATTGCAGCCTCCTGGGATTTGTTCACCCGAGCCCGAGCGTGTTCCCCCTTCTCGTTACCGAGCATCAAGTGCCTGATGAGAGAGGGATTTGGGGACAAGACAATGCAGAGATAGCTAGCACAAAATGATTAGCCAGAATGTATTGTTAATAAGCTGCTTATTCATCTAATTGGAAATTCTTTGCAGCCGGGGTGTCAGTGGAGCCTGTGTGTGCTGCTCTGCTGGAGCGGGGCAGGTCCCGGCCCAGGGGATGCTGCAGCTCCCTGCCCTGCTCCTGCTGCCTTCAAGGGCAGGGAAGGACACAGGGAGCTGGAAGGGAGGCAGAAAGGCTCAGCCAAGCCCTGCTGGTGAGGGACACGCTTCCCAGTGTGGCAGCAGGAGGTGTCTGGGAGCAGAGCAAAGCAGAGGTCTCCTCCAGCACCCTTAGAGCACCCAGAGAAAGGCCAGGGAAGCTTGGCCTGGAGGCAGATAAGAGCTGACACTGCTCCTGTTCCCAGAGCAGCTGTGTGGGACAGAACCAGGTGTGGAAGGTCACCAGGGAGTCCCCAGAGCTGAGGACTGTGGCTGTGGATGCACCAGCAGCTCCAGGCTGAGCTGCCGTGGCTTTGCCAGGAGCTCTGGCTTCCTGTGGGTTTGCAAAGTTCCTCAGAGAGGCTGAGGGAAAGGAGGGGAAGAAGCCATTCCCTGTTCCCTCTGCTCGCCCTGGCTGAGCCCAGGCCTGCAGAGCAGCTGCAGGGAACTTGTGTGACATGAAAATCTGGAGCACTTCTCTCTTACCAGCCAGGGAGGAAGAGGAGCCAGGTGGGCCGACCTCAGCACGGGCTGTGGGGACAGGAGGGTGACAATGCAAATGCCACCAGCCAGGCAGAGCAGCAACAGCCCTTGGCCCCAGGGCTGGCAGTGCTCTGGGCACAGCCACTTCCCCAAAAGCACCCTGAGATTACCGGCATATGAATTTTGTAACAAAATATGGGGGGGTATTTCCGCTCGAGGCGAGAACTTGGCACTTCCCCGTCCCCCAGCTGTGTCACTGCCAGGCAGGAGAGGCCAAGGGCACCCACAGTGGCACAGGACACGCCGGGCAGCCCCAGTGATGCCCCTTCCCTGGGCCTGAGGATGGCCGTGGAGCTGAAAGCCCTGTTCCTGCTGGCGCTCTGCTTCCCAGGTAGGAGAAGGGACAGGGACAGCCTCCCCCAGGCCCTGCTGCCCCGGGAGCTCCTCCAACCCAGCCAGGCTGTGAGCTGGGCACTGCTGCAGGGCTGGGAGGGAAGGGCAGCCCCAGCTCCCTGGAAACCTCCAGGTGAATTTCCAGGTTCCAGTTCCCTGACTTTTCCAGTTTCCACTTCCCTGGTTTTTCCAGGTTCCAGTTCCTTGAATCCTCCAGGTGAATTTCCAGATTACAGTTCCCTGACTCCTCCAGGTGAATTTCCAGGTTCCAGTTCCCTGACTTTTCCAAGTTCCAGTTCCCTGGAAACCTCCAGGTGAATTTCTAGGTTCCAGTTCCCTGACTTTTCCAGGTTCTGGTTCCCTGGCTCCTCCAGGTGAATTTCCAGGTTCCAGTTCCCTGACTTTTCCAGGCTCCAGTTCCCTGACTTTTCCAGATTCTGGTTCCCTGAATCCTCCAGGTGAATTTCCAGGTTCCAGTTCCCTGGAGAATTTCCAGGTTCCAGTTCCCTGGCTCCTCCAGGTGAATTTCCAAGTTCTGGTTCCCTGGCTCCTCCAGGTGTCCAGGATGATCCGTGCTGGGAGCACAGAGCCTCTCCCACCCTGCCCAGCTCCTCTGAGGGCAGTCGTGGCTCGGGGCAGTGCCCAGGGCAGCGCCTGTGCCCCGGCAGCCCTGCAGGGAGCACAGAGCCACCAGCACGTGGCACCCTGGCATGGCTGGGCAAGTGGCACGGGGCAGCTGCTTCCCTCTGCTCCTTCCCACCATCAGCCCAGCCCAAATCTCAACGCTGCCCTTCCCATTTCCAAGCAGGGGAACTCAGCACGGGGAAGGGATTTTGGGTTTTGGAGTTCTTGAAGCCATCGGTGTCCCAGCAGGGGGAAGTTTGGAGGCAGAGGTTCCCTGTGTGCCCCGAGGGGCTGTGGGCAGCCCTGCAGCTTCCAGAAAGGGCAACTGGGCATTGGGAATTATTGTAAATGCAGGTGAAAACAATGGGAAGGAATTACAATGTCTTGATTCAATTCAGAAGGCTGAATTATTTCTTTATTATAACAATGGTGAAATACATTAATATGCTATATAAAAGGAGGATACTAAAACTACAAACTGCTTTCTCTGACTTTATTTCTAACTCTGACACAACTCATGACCCTCTCTGAGAGTCCAGCCCGGATTGGATTGGATTGGGTTGGATTGGATTGGATTGGATTGGATTGGATTGGATTGGGTTGGGTTGGGTTGGATTGGATTGGATTGGATTGGATTGGATTGGATTGGATTGGATTGGATTGGATTGGATTGGATTGGATTGGATTGGATTGGATTGGATTGGATTGGGTTGGAGGGGTTGGATTGGGTTGGATTGGATTGGATTGGATTGGATTGGATTGGATTGGGTTGGATTGGGTTGGATTGGATTGGATTGGATTGGATTGGGTTGGAGGGGTTGGATTGGGTTGGACTCCCTCACCACGTCTGATCCTCCCAGGTCTCCAAGGCCAAACCCCAGAAGTCCAGAGACGACGGGAAGGGGACACTCTTCACGTGCTGTGTCCTTATGAAGCGTGGACTACTAACCACCAGGAAAAATTGTGGTGCCTCCTGAGATCTGGAGACTGTAAAGAAATCCTGCGCACATACTATGAAATCAGCGTGCAATCCAGGGATAAGAGGACTGAAATAAAGGATAACACGAGTAGCAGGACTGTGTCTATCACCATGACTAACCTCAAGGCAGAGGACTCGGACACGTATTTCTGTACTGCTTACAACGGCTACAAAGGGGGATACCCACAGCTAAGGACCATCTCACTGAATGTTTTCAAGGGTGAGTACCTGTACCCCACCTGTAATTTCTGTAGTTTTCCCCCCCTCCACGCAGTCCCCAAAGAATCCAACCAGCTCAGAGATAGGGGCTGTGAGGGGAGGAATACCAGGAGAGGGGATAAATATTCAAAAGAGGCTCTTACCCCAGGGTGTTGGAACAGCTCTGTTTATTCTGTGGTGTCCATGGAGAGCGGGGCAAAAGAGAGAGAGCAGGAAGTTTTAGGGGTCTCTATAGGTTTTGGACAGGGTGGGCTTTCCTGGCTCCCCGCCAACCCCGTTGGGGCAGGAAGGAGGATCCAGGGGTTATCTTGATCAGAGTCACAGGGAAAGGGGGCAAAAGGGTGCCATGAGCTCACCGTAACACCCACCCAAAGCCAAACCTTGTCAGGAAGCAACATCCTTCCTTCCCCTGCTCTACCCCCCTGTCCCCCACGGCTGAGCAGCTTCCCCTGATCCCCCCAGCCCCTCTCCAGCCTCGCCTGGCTTTTCCTCCCACCCAGGGGGAGAAGGAGCCCCACGGACCTGCCTGGTCCTGCTGGCTCCCAGCTCCCTGTGGGAGATCTGGGTGCCCAGCACTGACAGTGCCCACCTTGTGTTTCACAGAGCTGCTCAAGTGGGAGCTGGACACGCTGAGGGTGCAGTGCCCGGCGGGGTACGGCATGGTGTGGTGCCGAGGAGGGCAGACGGGCTGCACGGCCCTGCTGAGCAGAACAGCTTCAAGGGAGAGCGAGATGAAATCCCTGCGAGACAGAGCATCAGTGGAGTATAACTCTCAAAAGGCTCTTGTTGTCACCATGAGGAACCTGCAGGTCTGGGACTCTGGGGTGTACTGGTGCGCCCTGGGCCCCGAGCTCAGCCGCAGAATGGAGGTGGTGCTCTCTGTGTTCAGGAGTGAGTACTGCCGTGTTCTCCCTGCCCAAGGGTTCCCAGAGTGAGCTCCTGCTGCCCTCTCACTGCCCAAAGTGAGCCCTGCCCTCCTGGCAGCCAGCTGTGGGCGTGGGCAGGTCTCAGCCCAGGTGACCCCGTCCCTCTCTGTCCCTGCAGCACAGTGCCAGCTGATCCTGGCACCTTCCAGCCAAAGCTCAGACAGGCCCTTCGTGCTCTGTCTGCTCCCAGCAGGCTGGCAGGAACCTCAGGGAGGATCCACAGATGGGGATGCTCATCCCAAGTGCTTCCCACGGGGCCAGACTGGTGGCTCCAGCACTGGTTCCCACTGGGCGCTGCTGGGACCCTCCCTCATGTCAGGCACTGTTCTTGCTCTGACCCCACAGCCACCAACCCCTCCAGACCCTGTGGGCTGAGTGTGCCACTCTGAGGGAACCAGAGGAGGGGGACAGGACCCCCAGATTTATCACACCTCTGCGTGGGGAATCGGGGGGCAGCCCCCTTGTGCTCAGGGCAGGGGGTGTGCAGGGGGTGTGTGGAGGTGGGGGCAGCTCCAGGTATTGCAGTGCTGGGGAGGGGATGCTGCTGTGGGATCCCATTTGGGGTCTCAGCACACGTCCTGGTGTTTTGCAGGGACCCAGCAGCACATTGCCAAGGAGTCAGGCAACATCTCTGTCCAGTGTCACTACAGGACCGCAGACTTCGGGGCTGTCAGCAAAGCCTGGTGCAAAACAAAGCAGGGGGAAACGTGTGACGTGCTGGCCAGCACCAGAGCCGAGTCCCCTGCAGGGAACAGCACGGCCTGGGGAGGTGTCAGGATCCAGGATGACACCCAGCAGGGCATTGTCACTGTCACCATGGAGCAGCTGCAGGTGCAGGACTCGGGCGTGTACTGGTGCGCGCTCCAGGACGGCTCCGGTCTGCTCCGCATGGAGGAGGTCACGCTCAGCGTTTCCAAGGGTGGGTATGGATCTGGCAGGACACGTTTGCAGATTCCAGACTCCCTGCCCTGCTCTCTCCTGTGCTGCACAGCCTACCCCACTTCCCACCTTGCCTGTGTTTGCCTGCCCAAATCCTGCAGCTTTGGATCTCCCCGTGGCCTCCACCCTGTGGAACAGCAGACAGAGTTGGGAGCAGATCCACATCGGTGCTGTGCTGCTCCTCCTTAACCTGGGAGCAGCTTCAGCTGTCCTGAGTGTTTGATATTAACTCTTTAGAGTGACTTTCTAGCCCCTTTAGAGCGATTCATCCTTTGCCTTTCAAAGACCTTCCGCTGGCTTGTCAAGGGAACAACTTTAGACTGGGATTTTACAGCTCTGGGACCTGTGGGCTCTGTTTCAGACAATGTTTGCACGGTGAGGGAAGGCACTGAGGCCCCTGGTGATGGCAGAGCAGCACCAGGCTGCAGCCTGGCTCTGGCAGCACTAAGAACAAGCAGTGCAGAGGATGAGAGGGGACATTGGGATGCTCTGGACACACTCACGGGACAAACCCTGGGAACAGCAGGGGCAGAGGTGTCACTGCTGAATGCAGAGCAGCCCCACAGTGACCATTCCTCTCCTCATGTCTGTGCTTGCAGCATTGCCTCCAGGAGGTTTTCCAGACTCTGAAAGCCAAAGTGAAGAAATTCTTGTGGGTGACAGGTAAGGACTGAGAATCTCTGAGCCTGAGCACACACCAGTTACTCCTGTTGTCACCTGGGGCAGGTAGGCCCTGGGCACTCTGGATTCTGCCTAGAGGAGTTGGATATGACAGGATCCTCACCAAAGGTGGCCTCTCCTTCTCCAGCACCTGCCTGAACCCAAATTCCAAAGGGAGAAGCAGATTGGTAAAATCATGTCACAGCCTTCTGCAGGAGCCTCTCTGCTTCTTTATCCTTCTCTCTTTGGGCCCTGCACTTCACTCAAACCCCCAGATTCTGCCCCTCAGCCTTGACTTTGCACCCTCCTGTCTGAGTATTTAACAGTGGGACAGTCCTTGGCTGCTATTATTCCATTTACCAGTTAAATGTAAAGGATTTTCCTCCCTTTGTACATCTGCTGCCATCAGTGCCTCAGCAGCACCTCAGAGCAGAATCACCCCTGCTCCAGAGAGTCTGGAATTGTGCTCGGAGCTTTGAACAGTGGCTCGTTTCTAAAGCCTGGAGAATGGTTTAGGAAAAGCTCAGAAGATACAGTCAAGTAGAAAAATCAAGGGTCAGGAATCAGGGAAGGTCTCCAGTGCCTCTTACTCCCTTCTGGCTCAGCAGGGACTTGCCAGGCTCATAGATGGAGGATCCTGCAGGATCTGCTGGAGATCTTGCAGGAGAACCAGACCCTCCTTCCAGGTGCTTGAGCTGAGCACATAAAACCTGTCCCTGTTGGGTGATGGGCTGTTAAACCATCCCACCCTGGTGACTGCCTTCCTCTGCTGCAGCTGCAGTGGGAACACCTTCCTCATCCTCTCCGTGGTGCTGCTCCTGCTGCTCCTGCTGGCCCTCCTCACCTCCGCAGCTCTGGGTGTCAGGTACTCCAGGCTCCTGCTGGCAACAGGTACGTGCAGCTGGCATTGTGGTGGAACTCAAAATGTCCCTCAGACATTTCTGGAGGTTCCAGGCCCAGGTCAGAAGCATTTGAGACCCTGGCAGGCAGCTGGAAACAGCTGTGATTTTGGGTTTGGAATGATTTACCAACCTTGCAGGAGGAACAAGAAGTCACAAAAGTTTAGATATTATAGTAGAAGTAGTCACAAAGTAGAGGGAAGAATTTTTGAGTGCTGTACAGGGGGGTTTTTACTTTGTACATGGGGGTCAGAGGTTTTAAGATGGAGTAATGTAGGCCAGTCCTGTTCCTCCTCTTTTTTCTTCCTTCCCTCCATGTTCTTGGTGATGTTGGCACTCACAGATTGGTTTAGAGTAGAAAAGCACCATTTAATATAGGTAATAGGCATTGGGGGAAAACTGTAACATGTAACACATAATGTACCATATAAAAGATAGAAAAGCACCATTTAATATAGGTAATGGGCATTGGGGAAAAACTGTACCCATGTAACACGTAATGTACCATATAAAAGACAGCAGCAGCCCTGGGCAGAGGGGGAGAGAAGAAGCAGTCGGGAGTCAGAGAGGATGTCAGGGTGTGTGTGTGCCTCTGCCTGAGCTGTGAGCAAACCACAGCAGCCCAAGGAGAAAATCTTTTAGATAACTTGCAATAAACTGCCCTGAGACCAAACAACAGAGACTGCAGAGTTTTCTTTGGAAGCTCGGGCTGGAGGAGGGAATTTTCCACCCCACGGAGCCCCTGGACCAGGTTGGTGGCTCTGACAGCATTGTCCCAGGCAGGGCCCCAGGTGAGCTCAGTGCCTCAGGTCAGGCTGGGAGGCCTCAAGGCAGGTTCCTCCCTGCCTGCCCTCAGAATAATTCAAGCCCAGATTCCTCCAGAGCCTGCAAACACCTTAGAGGAGGAGTAAAGAGAGCAGAGTGCTCCCCAGCCCCAGGGCAGAGGCACATCCCAGCACTGGGCAATGCCCCAGCCCTCCCAAAGCTCCTCAGGCAGAGCTGCTTGTGGATTTCTCCACATCTAAACCCTCTGATTTTGCCTCGTTCCAAAGGTAACAGAGAAGCAGAGGACACCAGTGGCAGACCAGAGGGCACAGCACAGGTAAGGAAAATGAAACATTTCCCACATGGTGCAAAACCCCTGAGCACAGTCTGGGAGGAGCTGTCAGACCCACCTGGTGGGGAGATTGGAGCTCAGTTTGGTTATAAACAGGAGGGAAATGGTATTTAATGGCAGCAGAGAGAGGAATGTTCCTAGCTGGAGAGAGAGGGGGTAATTAATGCAAGGAAACTCACGTAGGAATAAACCCAGTGGAGCAAATTCCAGTAACCCCTGAGAAGGGACTCAGGGAGTAACAAGCAGGGTCAGAGCATGAGGCTCCACCTGTATCCAGGAGAGGTGGTGAAGGAAAGCTCTCTGTTCCTTCACCTCTGTCACAACCAGAGGTAAAATTTGACACTTCTCCTTTCCTTGTAGGAAAATCTCCTTCTCCTGGCAGCAGTGTGGCCTGGCACTGCCTCATGCTAAGGAGTGTTTTCCCTTTCTTTTCCCAGCCTGGCAGCACTGGGAGGAGGGAACGTTCTCAGGATGACAGCAAAGGGCCAGCACACATCAACCTGGATGTGCAATCCCACTCCAGCCTGGAGGAGCCTCTTTACTGCAACGTGAAGCCGAGCCCGGCTCCCGGGAGCTGCCAGCACATGGAATACGCCGTCATCGCCTTCAACCAGTCCCCAAGGACCAGCAGGGAGTGAAGCACAGAATCCCCAGCAAGGCAGAAATATGGGGAAAAGGACCTGGAATAGAGTGGGAATGAGGACTAGGAGGAGTGTGGGTGCACAAGCTGAGTTTTGCTGCTGTGTGGGTGGTGTTGCCTGAGCATTTTCAGCTCTCCCTCCTGTTTTAGGTTTTGCCACACTCGGGTCAGGCAGAGCTGGGGGGGAATCCCCAGGATCTCTTGTAAATCTGCTTTTCCAATTCCATTAAAGTGCAGTCTTGGAGAGGCAGGTGTGGAGGCCTGGCCTTTGGAAAAGGAGCAGTGTGGACATGGCTGGGTGGGATATCCCAGCTGTGTCCTGCTACAAACCCTGCCCCAATCCCAAAAATTCAGCTGCTGTGGCCAAGCAGACTCATTCCAGTGCTGCAGGGATGGAACTCAAACCCTGCTGTGGCTGGGCTCATTTTTCATGGAATGGGCTGAGGATGGAAGTGCTGGATTCTAAGAATAAGCAGAACCAGCTCCTGCACTTCTGCCTCTGCTGGAAACGCTCCAAATGACACGTTTTATTTAGCAGTCATGTGGGGAGCAACATGAAATGACTTTATGGGGCTCAGTTCCATTTCTCCAGGAGCTTTGGCTCCTGATTTCCCTGCCCCAAGCCCTGTTGGAGGTGCCTGAACCAGCCCTCATTCCCAGGCCAGTCACATCCAACAGGCTTCTCTTGACAGGGCTGCAGCAGGGAGGCTGATGGAAATTTTTTGAGATTTTCAGAGTTGACCTGGCAGAAAGAAAAAGAAAACGGTTCTGGAAATGGTTCATTCAGCCCAACAATTTGCTCTTGGTGCAGTTGCCCTGGGTCAAGCTGTGGAAGAGTAATAGCAAAAAACCGTGGAGTGGAAGAGAGGCTTTTTTGGGGAGATTCTTGAAGAGAGTCCGTATTTGTGCTCACTGGAATGAGAAGGAACAAAAGCTGAAGTCAGTCACCTGACAAAGAATTTCTGGTCACTGTGAGGGACCATTTTTTCAACCACTAACTGGAGGAAAGGCACATTTAGGAATGACGAGGCCTGCAGGTTTAGCACCACACCAGTTTCGAAGTCAGGGTCTATTTGTACTTTCATGGAAGACCTCCAAATAAATAAATCACCTCAAAAATGAAACACCAGCAGCCCACCCCCATGAGTTTTCAGATATTCTGGGGGGTCTGTGGCTGCATTCCTGAGCTCTCCAGCACGGTGGCATTGGCTGGCTGAGAATCAGCATCCCCAGCAGAGATCCTGTGCCTTTGTGCCAGGTACAGAACACAGGTGGGCTTCTCCCAGAGCAGACAATGCTCCATGCACAGCCTCTTCCTTCTCCTGAAAACCCAGGCCATGATGTCCTTGTCCTCCTTCCCCCTCAGGGTGCTGCCAGAGCTCCCAGGGGTGCCTCCCTTTCAGCTTCCCAGAAATTCCCCCTAAGCACAGCTCCTGTAAATCATTTATCACATTTATCACCCCCGTGCTTGGAGTGCCAGCACAAGGGGATGGCTTCCACGGGGATATTGGGAAGGAATTGTTCCCTGTGAGGGTGGGCAGGACCAGGCATAGAATTCCCAGAGAAGCTGTGGCTGCCTCTGAATCCCTGGATGTGCCCAAGGCCAGGCTGGACAGGGTTTGGAGCAGCCTGGGACAGCGGGAGGTGTCCCTGCCGTGGCAGGGATGGAGCTGGATGATCTTTAAGGTCCTTCCAACCCAAACCATTCCATGATTCCATGAAATCCTGCTCCAGTGGGAGCAGACACCCAGCCTGTGGCTTCAGGCCACCACGTGCTACTCCCTTCCAGGCTGTGGCTGGGGCTGGGCAGTGCTGATGCCTGAATTTTGAGCCCACAAGAGCAATGCTCGTCCCTGGAGAATTGCTCAATGTGCAGGATAAAAAAGATGCCAAGTTCCTGTGCTCCTTCCTTCCGGCACAGCCAGGAGGGGGAGAGGAGCTGCCCATGGGCAGAGCTGGCGTTGCTCCTCTCCAGCTCCTCTCCCATTCCTTCTCTGCTCAGCCCCATGGAGAAGCTCCTGCACCTCACCTTGGTCCTCCTGGCAGGTAAGAACCACACGTGGTTTTGGGGTCAGGTAAAGGGGGAAGGATTGGGGCAAAGCTCTGTCTTGGTCTGAGGGTGCCATCCTCAGAGTTTTCCCTTTATTTAGCAAAGGACCACCCATCGAAGGGTGATCCCAGTGCTCCCAGATTTCCTCACAGGGATCTTTTTGAGTCAAAACAGGAAACACTGATGAGAGAAGTCCTGTGTGCAATGTGAAATTGCAAAATCTTGGGTTGTTCGCATTAGCAAATGGGATTTACATCGATGCAAATGATCACAAGTGGGGCTCAAGGGGAGGGAAATAAAACCCAGTGAAGGGCCCAGCTCTGAAACCCCAGACACCTGGGTTTTCCAGCTTGGAAAGGAATGTCCATCTGAAATGAGGTACAGGACCCAGCTGGGGCTCTCTGCAGCGCTTTGGGGATCCCAGATCCTCACAGCAGTGCAGGGAAAGGCAACGGACTCAGGCTGTTATAAACCTGTCCCAAAAATTGGGATGAGTTTGGGAAAAGTTCGCTGTACTTTGACCAGTGACACCCAAGAAGAGACAAGGAGCACCAATAGTTTATGACCTGTCAGCAAAATTGGTTAAAAAGAGAATAACACAACATTTTCCAAAGGGATGTGAGGAATCTTTCAATTATGCTGTTTGAGAAATGTTTTGCAGAGCTGGAGGAGGGAAGGGGGAATAGGAGAAGCAGTTAAAGAGTTTTGGAGGGATTGAACAGGGCTGGACTGGATATTCCATGAGATAAACCCTGACTGGAACAAGCAAGGGAGCAACACATCAGGATAAACCCTGTAGGTGTTGGATTGCAGAGCACAGACCCATTTTAGGTCTTCTTCAAGTCAAGCTGAAAGAACTTCATATTTTTTAGTTTACAATTCACTTAGAATTGTTGGAATTATTGTAGGAAGTGTTATTAAAAGGCTCAGCCAGTACAAAGTCCTATTTTTAAATTTACCTCTGTTTTATCATTACTTATGGTCTCACAGAAGCATTTGCCTGTGACTTTTTTTTCACTAGAAATAAAGAGTTCCACAAATACCACACTGCACTTCTCTCTGGAAGTATTAATAGCTCAGACTGTCCTCTCTGCCTGTCACAAAGAGGAATGGAAATTAGAAATGAGGAACCAAGACAATAAAAAAAAAAAAAAAAAAAAGTCAAGCAAAGACCAGTTGTCAACACAGTTAAAATTAGTAAGATATTAAAAGATAGGGTGGAAAAGAATGTTAAACTGGATTTGAACACTGAGAGTGAGGTTCAGAAGGAACCAGTGAGCCGGGCACTGGTTTGGAGGTGGCACTGGGACAAATTCCAGAATATCTGAGCCAAATCTGAGTACAGTGGGTTGCTCACGGGGAAGGCAGACAGGTGACATCCTACAGGTGACATCCCTGAGGGTGACAGCGCTACAGATGACAGTCCTCTACAGGTGATAGCCCTGTGGGTGACAGCCTCACAGGCGACAGTCCTTCAGGTGACACCCTACAGGTGACAATCCTAAAGGTGACAGCCCCATAGGTGACAGCCCTAGAGGTGACACTTCTACAGGTGATAACCCCACAGGTGACACCCTACAGGTGATAACCCCACAGGTGACAGCCCTACAGGTGACAATCCTAAAGGTTACAGCCCCATAGATGACAGCCCTACAGGTGACACTTCTACAGGTGATAACCCCACAGGTGACACCCTACAGGTGACAGCCCTATAAGTGACACTCCTACAGGTGACACCCTACAGGTGATAACCCCACAGAGGACAGCCTACGGGTGACAATCCTAAAGGTTACAGCCCCATAGGTGACACCCTACAGGTGACAGCCCTACAAGTGACACTCCTACAGGTGACACCCTACAGGTGATAACCCCACAGGTGACACTCCTACAGGTGACACCCTACAGGTGATAACCCCACAGGTGACAATCCTAAAGGTGACAGCCCCATAGGTGACACCCTACAGGTGACAGCCCTACAAGTGACACTCCTACAGGTGACACCCTACAGGTGATAACCCCACAGGTGACACTCCTACAGGTGACACCCTACAGGTGATAACCCCACAGGTGACAATCCTAAAGGTGACAGCCCCATAGGTGACACCCTACAGGTGACACCCTACAGGTGATAACCCCACAGGTGACACCCTACAGGTGACATTTCTACAGGTGACACTTCTACAGGTGACAGCCCCAGAGGATGAAAATGACGTTCAGCATCTCCACAATGAGGGACAGACCTGGGAGAGGCTTGGCTCACCCCTCCCTCCGTCCCTCTGTCCCTCTCAGCGTCCTGTTCCGCGGAGAACGTCACCGTGGTGGCCGCCATGGAGGGGGACACCGTTTCTGTCAACTGCTCCTACGACCCGCGGCAGTGGTGGCGGGAGAAGAGCTGGTGCAGGCAGCTGGAGCAGAGCCGGTGCCAGCACGTGGTGAGTGCCCCACCCGTGTGGCTGCCCTTCCTCAGGGCCAGGACGGGCACCACCTCCATCAGGGACAACGCCCGCGCCGGGCTCCTGACCGTCACCATGGGGCAGCTCCGCAGGGAGGACGCGGGGCTGTACCAGTGCAGAACGGATTTCCTGGGAGACACCAAGAGCCTGAGGAAGGTGCGGGTGGAAGTGCTGGCAGGTACGTCCTGGGGCTGCAGGTTTGGAGGGCTCCTGCTGGAATTTCACGTGTCCCTGCTGGAATATCACAGGTTCCTACTGGAATATCACAGGTTCCTATTGGAATTTCACAGGTTCCTGTTGGAATTTCACAGGTTCCTACTGGAATTTCACATGTCCCTACTGGAATATCACAGGTTCCTACTGGAATTTCACAGGTTCCTGTTGGAATTTCATGGGTTCCTACTCAAATTTCATGGGTTCCTACTGGAATTTCACATGTCCCTGCTCGAATTTCACGTGTCCCTACTGGAATATCACAGGTTCCTACTGGAATTTCACAGGTTCCTATTGGAATTTCACAGGTCCCTACTGGAATTTCACAGGTTCCTGTTGGAATTTCATGGGTTCCTACTCAAATTTCATGGGTTCCTACTCGAATTTCACATGTCCCTACTGGAATTTCATGGTTTCCTATTGAAATTTCATGGGTTCCTATTGGAATTTCCCTGGTTCCTATTGGAATTTCATGGGTGTCTGCAGCTTCCCAGGGCCCACTTGAGTCAATATCTACTTTTGTCTCGCTCTAAGGAGGTTCTGTGTTTCACTGCCTCTTTTTATTCCTGTTTTACAGCAGCAGCACAACCTCACTGTTAGAGGGTGTCTGACACGTCACCTCCTTACTGCTCCCAGTGCCCCGTCTCCCCAGGGTTACCTGCCCAGCTGAACATCACCCAAACCACCTGCAGACTAAACTGTTGTGTTTCCATCAGCAGCTGACCTGGTGACCCACGTGCCAGAGGAGCCCAGAGCTGTGCAGAGCATCTCCAGGTGGGCCCAAAACTCTTCGTGCTGAGTTCGCTAATCTTCCTAGGACTAAGGCCGCATTACAAGAGATTTTTTCAAGGTGGGACCATCCCCTTCATGGTTGCGTTTCTGCCTCCCCACAGGTCCCCTCCTGATGTGGATTTCACTGTTTTCTACATCCTGGCTGGATTCCTGGTGGCCAAGTTCATGGTGGCTGTGCTGGTCTGTGCTGTTGCCCACAGCAGGAAGAACAGGGAGAGGGGGCAGAACCCAGGGCTGGGTGAGCAGCAGGCGCTCCCTGTCCCTGCTGGCCTTGGACATGATGGAATTGGCCTCTCCTGGGAGAGCTCTGCATGAGCCAAGCCAAAGGGAATCCATGGAAAAGGCAAATCAGGGGTTTGCCATCTGCCCTAAGAAAAGGATCACTGCTAACCACAGGTCTGGAAGAATCTGTCACTCCGGAGAGGGAATGTCCCCATCTTCTTTGTCACTTCTTCCCCTCGGTACCTCATCCCCAGGCAGTTATTCCAGACTTCATTCCCAGGACCATTCCATCAGGGTCTGAACTGACACCCATCAACTTCCTGTCACCTCAGGTGACACGTTCTGTCTTTCCAAGGTGAGGAAGAGCAGCTCCCAAAAGCTGCTTTGGACAGTGGGCATGCTTGGAGAAAATCCTCGTGGAAAGGAACTGCAGGACACACCAGGAAAGGGATGTGGTCTCCTTGCATCTCCCAGCCAGCTTCTCCTCTCTGAAGGGACTTTGTGGACACAGGAACTGTCTTTTTGTTGTTCTCCCCGTGTTTTCTCTCCCATGTGGTTGTTCCTTCCTCCCCGCCGAGCTGCACTCAGCTCTCCCAGGCTCCAAACCCATGGGCACTCACGTTTCTTTATCCCTGCAAAACTAAATAAAATCCATCTGATTCTCTGGCTCGGTGTGGATTCCTGCAGGACACCAGGTCACAGTCGTGTCCCAAAGCAGAGGTGGTGCTTGGAATATCCTGGAGTGTTTACAACATCCAGGAACACTCAGATCCAGCAGGACAGGCTGGAACATCCAGAGCCAGAGGAACAGCAGCTCAGAGCCCAACCCCTCATTGCCCACAGAATCAATGACTGAAATTTGTCTATTTTAATTCCACTTTTCAGTTCTCACTTTTAGAGTAGTACTGTGTTTTTTCCAGAAATTTAAATTAATGGGGGAACATCTGGCAGCCTTTGTCCTTCTGAAGCCTTTCCTTCCCACCACTGTGAGATTCTCAGTCTTAAATCAGCAACTTTTGGGGAAGAAAATCTGTGTTTGTTGCTCTCTCCTGGTGTAGACAGTGACTTGCTGTATGACTGCATCCACAGAGAGGAATTTGCCATCTGAAATAAAATTATCTCCAAGGAAATAATAAGAAATGAATCAATAACTTACCGATTGCCCTCAAAAACAATTAATGTCATTTGGTAGGATTGTATTAATCACAACCAAATGGGTTTGTGGGTTTGGGGCAGAAATACTTCAGGGGCTGGTTCGTCCTTCCCTTCCCCTGCTCCCTCTGTGCTGACGTTGGCTCTGTTCCTGTGGTGGGTGACCTGGACACTCCATGGGGTTGTTTTTTCCTGTCTTCCCCCACCCTGATGAATCACAACTCGAGGCTCATCAGAACTTTTGGGGCTGTTTGCAAAAAAAAACCAAAAAAAACCAAAAAAAAAAGGAACTCCCTGTCCCTCAGTGCTCCCATCCTGTGAGAGCCAACAGGAAACTCCAACCCTGTGTTTGGGGCAAAATGCTGCCCCAAATTCAAGGTAACTCTGATCAAAATCTCATTTACCACACATCCCCTCTGCTCTTCCCCAGTTTAATGAGACAAGGAGGAAATATTTGCAGCTGTGGATGAACCAAGGCTGATCTTCAGAAAGCCAAAACCACTTAAAGCACCCAGCTGCTGAGGGAAAAGAAAGGCCTGGGTGTGCATTTCCTTGCAAAATAACTGCACTTTTCTAACAGCACAGCACCTCGTGGGCAAACCCAGAGGAAAGCTGTGGTGCATTTGCTTTTTCAAATTACTCTATTTTTAAATAGCAGAGAGTTATAAACCCAAATAAAGGGAACTGCTTGTGTCTGGCAGCAGCTGATACAGCACTACAGCCAGGCCAAGTGAGCTGCTTCCTCTGGATTTAAATATTCACAAAAAAACTATTAATTACTTCCCATTCTGGTAAGATTCAGCAAAGTGGTAAAAAATTTGCTTTATTTTAAACCTATGAGATTTTTCCTTGGCTTCAGAAAGACAAGTAAAGCATTTGACATGTTCTAATAAACAAGGGGGATCTTGGAAAATATTTGTCTACCTTATAGTGTAAGCTGTCATCAGCTTGAGCTCCTGGGGTGGAATTTACACTCCAACATATTGATTTGTTTTACAAAGAAATAATTCTGTATTTCCCTGTTTGTTGTTTATTAACACACAACTGTCCTCCAGGATAAATCTAGCTTGACTTTATTACAAATTACACCCCTGTTGATCCAACTACAGAATCCTGTTATTGTGGTGATATGAGCAAACGTCCCTCAGGGATTATGGATAAATCCCCAAATTCAACTGACTGAGATTTTCCTCTTAATTCCGTGAGCTACAGACTGAGGATGCTGAACAGAACACAAAATTGAGTTTAATTTTTGGATCTCAAGATTGCAGAAAGACTCCAGCCTGGATTTTGAGTGGCAAGGGAGGGAAGGAAGGTGGAAATCCATCCATGGATTGGATAAATTCTGCTCTGTGAGTGATTATGCTGATCCGAAGGTGAGGGTGAGAGGGAAAAGTAAATTCTGTTGACTGCTTTGATGTGGCAACACAATACCAGGGTTTTTTACCAGTGTATCTGAGATGATTTAATTATTCTACGGCAAAAAAAAAAAAAAAAAAAAAAAAAAAAGCTAATTACATAATAACTAAAGAAAGTGGCCTGTGGCCCTGAGGGGTGGCCGCCTGCAAAAAATTCGAACTGTGAAGAATGTTTCCCAGACCCAGGCTGCCCCAACCTCAAATTTCTGCTGCCCTGACAGTCCCAAGGGAACCCTACAAACTGACATCAGGAACCTGGACTGGTGAGTTTTCTTTCCCAGGGAAAACAGCCGCTGTTTGTGCTCAGTGAGTTTCTGACTTCCTAAATGTGAATATTCTCCTCATTTCCTGTCCCATCTTCTCACTCTCTGATATTACATACTGTCATTTCCTTCTTTTTTTTTTTTGTAATCATCACTGTATTGACCAATTCTGGAAAGAAGTCATGACTGCCAGCTTTGTGCTCTGGGCATTTTGAGATGGCAAAATGTTGGTGTGGAGTTTGTACCATTAACTATTTCTGCTATTGCAGCGAGCACGCAGTTCCATCCTGGGAAGAGCAGCGTGCCCAGAGGGATTACAGGAGACTGGGAAATTTGCTGTCTCTTAAAGCTTTAAAGCCCACCCAGTCCTCCTAAGAGGAAAAGTATTTTTGTGCCAAAACACGGAAATAAGCTCAGCCTGAGTGTCTGAATGAATTCAGCCGTGTTTGGGCCAAAAAAGATAATGACAGGATGGATCCTTGGGAGTTGGGGATGAGGAGGAATCACGTTCCAGGGAGGTAATCTGGAATATAAGGGAATTAAATCTTGGAAAGAAGGTCAGTTTGCCCCATGAGGATGGTGTGGTACAGGTACAGAGTCCATCACCACTTCCATGGACACTCCTGGTGCTCCAGCGCAGCTTCCAGGTGACTTCAGGGATAATTACAGAACACGGTGAATCCTGCAGGAGGCCATGGAGCATCTCCATGAGTGCTGTGCCCACAGCTCTGCCAGGACAGGGAGGCACTGCCAGGCACATTCCCCATCCCTTTCCAGGTGGGAATGGCAGCACAGCCCCTTCCTTCCTTCCTTCCTTCCTTCCTTCCTTCCTTCCTTCCTTCCTTCCTTCCTTCCTTCCTTCCTTCCTTCCTTCCTTCCTTCCTTCCTTCCTTCCTTCCTTCCTTCCTTCCTTCCTTCCTTCCTTCCTTCCTTCCTTCCTTCCTTCCTTCCTTCCTTCCTCCCTTGTTTTATTCCTTCCTTGTTTTATTCCTTCCTTCCTTGTTTCCTTCCTTCCTTCTTTCCTTGTTTCCTTCCTTCCTTCCTTGTTTTCTTCCTTCTTCCCTTGTTTTCTTCCTTCCTTTATTCCTTCCTTCCTTCTTTCCTTGTTTCCTTCCTTATTTCCTTGTTTCCTTCCTTCCTCCTTTCCTTGTTTCTTTCCTTGTTTCCTTCCTTCCTTCCTTATTTCCTTCCTTCCTTCCTTCCTTCCTTCCTTCCTTCCTTCCTTCCTTCCTTCCTTCCTTCCTTCCTTCCTTCCTTCCTCCTTTCCTTGTTTCTTTCCTTGTTTCCTTCCTTCCTTTTCTTCCTTCTTTCCTTGTTTTCTTCCTTCCTTGTTTCCTTCCTTCCTTCCTTCTTTCCTTGTTTTCTTCTTTCCTTGTTTCCTTCCGTTTCCCTGTTTTCTTTCTCCCTTCCTTTTTTTCCTCCTTTCATTCCTGTATTTTCTTTCTCCCTTTCCTTTTTTTCTTTCTCCCTTTCTTTTTTTTCCCCACAGGGCGTGGGGTGAGGGCAGTGCCTATTTGGACTCTTTTTTGGGGTATATGGCAGTGCAAAGGGTTTTTTTGGTCACACCAGGTCAGGGCAGGACTGTCCAGCCACCCCAAAGCCCCCCCTGCCCTCCCCACACCCCATCACTAAATTCCTACCACAGAGCAAAAGCTTCATCAGTTTATAAATTTTATTAGCTGGAGAGTGTACACAGTACTTACAATTGCATCTATTAAAGACCAAAATACACTTGAAAAAATGCATCATATAAAAAAAATTAAAAACTTTGAACTATGTACAAACTTTGCCTGACATTATGTTAAGCTCAGGACCCTCCCACGCCCCTTCACAAAGAAAAGTTTATTTTTCTCCCTCTTTTTAACATGCAGGGCCTTAAAGCCATTGAGCATCACTTGAGGACCATTTTTTCCCAAATCCTGATCTTTACACTCCTACAAATCTGGGTTTTGATGGGTTTGGTGCTTCACTGCTCTGGGTCAATCAAACACATTTCTTCCCAAACCTCTTCTTTCATCCTCACCCACTCTTAACTCACTCCTAAAGTGAAGTTTTTGCTCAAGTGTAGCCAATCTACAAAGAATTCCAATTTAATTACTAGGGAGGTTTGAACTGGACATGTCTCCAATTTTAATAGATGTGCCTAGAAAAGAAAGGAGATATTTTTGGTACCGTGGTGCTGACTGCTGGCTCCAACCTCACCAAATAAACACAACTTTCAGCAGTGATACACAGAACACAAAACATAAAAAAATGATAGGAGCACTCGGGCTTTCACATCACTATTTAAAATATTAACAATAAGACTTCCTAGAACACAAATCCATTATTTCTTCACACACAACCTACAACAGCAGATCAGAGAACCTAGATATGAAAGGATATTGGGAAAAAGTTTACAAAGTAATTACTTGTTTAAAAAAAAAAAAGAAACAAAATCTATGTCAGAGCAATAATTTTGCTTCTTGAACTTCCAGCTCTCAAAAAGGTGTTTCAGGACAGATTTACCATCAACTGAAGAGCAAAAACAAGGAGCTCACAAAGAGGATCCAACATTTCTCCTCCCTCTGATACTCTCAGGTTGAGTATTTTCCTTTCATACAAAGGAAACAGCATTTTCCAGGCTCTGTTCTTTTGTTTCCTTCCTGCTGATTTATCCTCCACTTTGTCTTTAGCTTCCAATAAATGGGAAAAGATGGGAGGGAGGAAATATAATTTCCAAGCTGCATTTCCTTGTCACTTTAAATCATTCAGTGGATTTAACCCAGCCTCACCCATCCTTGGCAGCATTTCCTCAAAAACTCTTCATTCTTCAGCTTCACCTGGCCAGGTGCACGTTCACCAAGCAACATTCCCAACCCCAAACTTCACTGCTGTGATCCAGCCTGAACTACAGGACACAAAACCTGGAAATTCTGGGACTCCAGCAGGCAGATGATCCCCAGAGCAGCTGTGCAACTCAAGGTGAGAGGGGACAGGAGTGCAGTGGTGAGAAATCACCTATTAAATGCTTTTAACTAGTGCTCCCATCACCAAAATTCAAATTATAATAGAACAAGCTTAGAATCTAAATTAAAACTCTGTTCTGTGGAGATGCTCAGCCCAAAGCCAGCTGGAAAAGGTAATGGAAAAATCCTGTTTTTTTATAATCTAAGTATTGCTCCTTCACTAAGTGCCACTTTTGTTTTGTTTTTAAGAACTTAATTTACAAAAAGCATGGAAGGTTCATCAGTATCTGCTGAGTCCTTCAGGTACCTGGGGCTGAGCTGCCCCAGCTGCTGCTGTCCTGAATCATCCCTCACTCTGGAATTGTAGAAATGATTTAGGCATCAGAAACTCCACCCCAACCATGGCCAAGTGCCACCACGGTGACACTGAGGGTTCCACTGTGACACTGAGGGTCTCTTGGAGGAACCATGGACTTCACTGGCAGGTGAAAAAGATTTAAAAAAAAAAAAAAAGAAAATCCTTTGGAAGAGACTCACTGAAAAGTTTCAATCCTTTCTATACTCGCATCCAGTTTTCTTCCAAAGCAACAAATACTGGCAATGAACATCCAAAGCCACCCAGAAACTGATTTACTGACCCAATCCCCCCCACATCTCCCTCTCCCACCCCACTTGCAACAGAGACACAACACATCAAGTCCTGCAGTAATCTTGACTATTTCTAGCATTGATTGGATGGCTGAACGTTTCCCAGAGAAGAGCTTCTTCACACATGTACAAGGTGGAATTGAAAAGAATCCCCTTCAGTTTCTGCCAGGGTCACAGGTGCAGGGCCCAGCTCAGGGAAAACCGAGTCCAAAGGGGCGAGGAGTGGATGGAATAACAAATCTCTGCTGGGCAAACCCAGCCCTGTGGGTTTGCCAGCACTGAAACCCATCCAGTGCTGGCTGGAGGAGCTGGAATCTGTCCCTGGACAGGGACTGAGGTGGGAAGATGAAGGAAAACCAAAGACGAGCGCTCAGACTCCGAATTCCCTGTGCTGGATCAGGAGAGGGCACCAAGGAAGCCTGAAAGGTTCTGTTTGTAGAGTTGAAACCTCAAGCATGTCCTCAACACCTGGTGCTTGCTCTGTGGAAAGGACAGGCTGTGACATGGAGATTGTCCCACTCCAGGATTCACTGGACACTCTGGGCAGGCAGGACAGGCTGGCAGGAGGGACGGGAATTCCCTTCAGGTGTTTTTCCCTGGAAGCAGGGGTTAGGAGACCCTGATCATCTGTGTCATTGCTTCTTCGTTGCTTTGAGTTGGATCCTGCAGACACAAAAGGGTGGAAATTCCACGTTTTGCCATGAAGCAGAGAGAACCACACAGAACCATCAGCAGGACACACTCCTGCATTTCCCTCGATCTCCAAAACCGTCCTATTTTTCCTGGGTTTTACAGGCCAGGGACACAAAAATCCTAATACCTCCCAGGAATTTGTTGTTTCTGGTATTTAGGAATGATTTTAGTTCAAAATAAGAAACACTCCCTAAAGGCAAAGGACTGTTCTAAAGCACTGAGCAACCACAGAACCTCTTAATTCCACTCCATTATATCCTCTCCTTTGAAAAATGCCTGGCACCTTTTAAGCACATCAAGATGCAGCTAAGAATCAGATATTCCCATTTTTTAATTTTGCATCAGATGTAAAGATAAGGAGTCTCTACCTTTAATTCATTCCTGTAAGAAAACCCCTGTACCCAAAAGGGGTACAGCCCAGAAAAGCTGTTTTTACACACACAGAATGTTTGTGTGCATTTACCCTAAGAACTACAAAGTGAACACATTTCTATCCACATTATTTTAATTTAATTCCCTTGCTCTCCACAAGCAGCGACAGGAGGTTTTATTCCCAATGCTTGGAATAAATCTAAAGGCAGGGAGGGCCAAGGGGCAGCAGATGAAAAATTCAGAGGCAGGGAGGGACGAGGGTCAGCAGCCAAGCCCAAAAACCCAAACAAAGCAGCACAGACACCTCTGTGTGTGCATCCTGAAGGCTTGAAGGGGGATTTGCCCCAAACCCCACTCACCTGCATGTGAGGGCTGTCCTTTTCCTTGGGGGAGAAGAAGCGACCCCCCTCTCCCCGTTTCCTGGCCATGGCGTGCCGGTGCCGGGACTCGTGCAGGTATTTCTGCAGTGAAGGAAGGAGCAGCTGAGGGAGCAGCCACTGCTTTCCCAGGGGAAATTCCCAGTCCCCATCCATCCTCTGCCCCACAGATTCCCAGTCACTGCCTCTCCAGGGGAAATTCCCAGTCCCCTTGCCCCACAGATTCCCAGTCACTGCCTTCCCAGAGGAAATTCCCAGTCCCCCTGCCCCACAGATTCCCAGTCACTGCCTTCCCAGGGGAAAATCCCAATCCCCATCCATCCTCTGCCCCACAGACACTGTGCTCACAGTCAGTGCATGCTCACACACAGCTCCCAAAACCACCCAAAATAAGCAGAATTATCCTCAAGGGACTTAAAATTAACTTCACTCTGATGTAGCTCATCAACAGCAACAAAAACATTGTTGAGGAACACCAAGATTCTAACCCTCAGGTGGGATTCTGTGCCTTTGACACAGAGCAACCCCGTGTTAGATCTGAGTTTTACTCTCACCCTTCTCTCTTTGGGGATTTTTCCCTCTGCCTCCAGCTTGGCCCGTGCCTGCCTCCTCTTCAGGATGCGGTGGTACTGCTTGGCATTGACATAAAGGGGCTCCTCCTCCAGCATCTCTGCTCCAGGCAAAGGGATCCTCTGGATGGCTGGGACTGAGCCAGCCCCAGGCACCATCTGTGCAGACAGGGTGGGTTAGTCCTTGCAGCTCAGCACACAAAAACGTCATTAAAAACCCCAACATTGAAACAGAAAGTGGGTTTTGCTCAGCTAATGCAGCTGCTTAAATGAAAAGGAGCAATGAAGCTGTTCTCAAACTGCAAAACCAATCTAAACAAATCGTTCCTGCTGGGTTTTCCTGATAAAAGTAACAGTTCAATACAATTCCTTGACTGTGTTGCTGCTTCTTAGACAATTAAACAAACAGGGCATGGCTGTTTAACCCTTTCTTTTGGGTTATCTCTCATTTAAATTATTTCATTTCAGAGCACCTCTGAGCCAACACTGCAGAGCTGCTGACATCTAGTGGGGACCAGCAACATTCAAGAGGCTCACACCACAAAGAAACAGGAATTGGCAGGAAAAACCTCTATAAATGAAGGAAACAAATCCTAAGGGACCCTCAAGAAAACCAGAAGTGACTCAATCTATTTAAACCTTTGCTCATCAGCTCACAGCTCAGTTTGGATTTCAGTTTCTGTATTTCTGAGAGTGGGAGAGAGAAAGTCCAGAGCAAAGATCACAGCAGGATCCAGGCCTTTGAAGCTGAAAATTTGTATTGTTTAAACTTTAAACTAATGGAGCTTACAGAGAGGACTGACCATGGTATCTCAATCTCAGACAAGAGTTTATTAGAGAACCAAGGAATCACAATCATTTGGGGTGGAAGGGATCTCAAGGATCACCCAATTCCAACCTTCTACCATGGGCAGGGACACCTTCCACTGTCCCAGGCTGCTCCAGCCTGGGATGGAGAAGCCACAGCTTCTCTGGGGTCCCTGTGCCAGGGCCTCCCCACCCTGCAGGGAGAAATTCCTTCCCAATATCCCACCCAACCCTGCCCTCCTTTGACTTAAAGCCATCCCCACTATCCTGCCCCTACCCCTGTGCAAATCCTGCCAGGTTTGAGTACAAACACCTCAGAGCTCAGCCTCCATAGGCAGCAGTGGGAATTTTACACCTACCATGACCATTCCCCCTGAATTGACCACGTTCCCAGCCACTGGCAGTGTCACTGTCACCGTCCCCTGGCCACTGCTGGTAGTGTTGGTGTTGGCTCCTGTTTGGACAATCTGGGCTCCAGCCAGGCTGGCTGCAGGAATGGTGATCATGCCTGTAACAGGGACTGTAACTTTAAGGAAGTAGAACACAAAAGGAAAGGAAAAAAAAAAGAAAAAAAGAAAAAAAAACAAGAAGAAAAAAAAGAGAGAGAGGAAAAGAAAAAGAAACAAAAACATGCACACAAAAAGAAGGGAACAGCATTAGTCCCACTTCTGTGTTTTACTCATTCATCCTTCCAAAGCATGCAGAGAGTCAGGAAAGTGCTGAAGTGAGGGATTAAATTCCATCAGAATTCCTGGTTTTTGCATTTGTAACCTCACTGTGAGTAACCAAGTACTCTTGAGATGGAAAAGCAAAATTAAGGGGTTTTGTTCTACCAGCCCTTGCCAGAAACAAGGAGGTTTTCTGTTTCTGGGGAAAGAACCCCGGAGTGAATTCCTGCAGAGCACACAAACACCTCAATAAATAAAAAGCCTCTCAAAGAGGTGCCCTGGTTCCTCCCAGCCCTCCTACCTTGCTGCAGGATGGTGCCATCAGCATTCACAGGTTGGTACACGATGGTCTGGCCCTCAGCAGCCTGGGCAACCTGCTGGCCTTGCACTGCTATCTGCTGCTGGGTCTGAACAAAACAAAGAGCACAAAAACGTCACAAATTGCCTCTTTTTTTCCCAGTGTTTACAATTCCTGAATGAACACATGGTGCTTGAGGTGTTCCAGGTGTCTATTTCTGCTGCTTCATTAGCAGCAGTAAGAAACAGGCTGGAGCACAGAGCAAATACCTGGAGATCAAACACCTGAAGCACATGTAAGATGCATTTTTCAACAGTTCAATAATGAAAAAACCCATATTCTAGGTTTCCTGTCTCACTTTGAAGATGTGAAAGGAAGAACTGTTTTCTCCAAAATTTAATTTTAGCCCTAACCAAAAGCATCAGCAGAAACCCCAGGTGTGACTGCACACAATGGCCCAAGTATGGAATTAGCAATGCTTCATGTTTTCAAAATTCAACAAAGAGACAAAAACAACCACGAACCAATAAAATACAGAAACACGATGGAGAAAAACATGCAATCTAATTTTTCTGCCCCAGAGTCATGTATGAAACACTACAAAAACATGACACTTATTCTCAAGTTCTCCTCAATATTAAGAATTCCTTTTTTTTTTTTTTTTTTGGTTTTGTTTTGTTTTTACTTAACCACATCTTAAGTCATTTGCCAAGTTTCTCTTCCTGCTCCTCTGCAGAAAAGCCTTTCATGCTGGTGCAGTTACCTGTGTCTGGCCAGCAGTAACTGCAGTCTGGGGCTGCTGTATAATGATCTGCTGGGTCTGGCCCTGCTGCCCCTGTACCTGCACAGCCTGCCCACCTTGAATCTGAATCTGACCTGGCTGGACCAACTGAATCTGTGGAAGAAAGAGTCAGAAAGGAACATTAACTATGCCTCTGATTTCTCCCTCCTCAGCCTCAGCATGACCAAGTCATCTCTGAGGGTGATTTAGTGTTGCACAGAAAAAGGAAGCAGGGAGTCTTCTCTTTTTCCAGTTGAGAACGAGGAGTTTTAATGGATTGCTCCCTGTGACACAGCCACACGGGGCAGAGGGAGCAGCGTGCTGTGTCACCGTGCTCCAGCAGTTCTGCACTGCTTACACAATAAATCACTCGGGAGAAATCAATTATTCACATCCACTGGGAACAAACAGTCAGGTGGAAAAGGAGGACTAAGATTTAAGACATCCTTGGGGTGTTAATTATCCAGCACTCAGAAGTACTTCTGGGATATAAAAAGTTGTCCTCAGCTTTGCAGAGTCTTTCCACCACTGTGGAACATTCTTAGATTAAAAAAGAAGAGCTGGAATACGGTTTGAAGTTTGTGTTTAAAAACACAGTTATGGATTTTCCTCCACCAACCAGACTGAGAAGAACCTCATACAAATTACAGTGGTTTTCAACAAAGGAAATGTTAAATAAACCTCTCAAAACACAAAGACATCATTTGCCTTCCTGGACTGTGCTGGGTTCCTAAATCCCATCCTAAATCATCAGTATACTTTCATTATGCCATGGTTATAGTTCTTCCCTTCCCTTTTCAGGAACACTTCAAAAACCTCCTTAAATTTACCAACTGTCTTTTAAACAGGTAATTACTTCCAAAAAAATCCATTTTCTACACCTCCTTCGCTGTTGCCTTCTGTGCAACAAGGATGTTTAAATTCCCCTTCAGCCATCAGTATTAGAGGGGGTTCAACCATAAGTTACTTGCAAGTAGCTTTCTTAAATATTTTTTTTTTAATCCTCCTTTTGAACCATAAATTGAACAGGCACCAGATCCCCAACTACATTGCAAGGGCCACGTAAAATATCCCAACAAACAAAAATCCTGCTCTGTGGGAAGATATCCCTGCCTATGGCAGGGGGTGCAACTGGATGAGCTTAAAGAGCTCATTCAACCCAAATCGATGAGAAACCCCAAACCAACCCAGCTGTGTTTTAGCATTGAATTATAAGGTTTGCACCAGGCCATAAAACATAAAAAGGACTTCCACTCATCCCCAGCGTGGCAGAGGCACCGAGCAGCAGCTCAGCATGGTTTTGGGGTGCTGAGCAGAGCCCTGTGTGGCAGTGCCAGCGTCCCCAGGCTGCCCCTGGGTTGTTGGGGAAGATGAAACAAGAAAGCCTTATAAATATGACTGCCTGGCAAAAGATTTAGCAAATACAGAGATTGAGATGGTAACAAGTTTTGAGATACCAAACCTTAGTTACTGAACAACTAGAAAACAATAGCACAGCCAGGATGAAGACAATCCCCCCTTCTGGTTGAACAATGCCCTTACCTACAGGCAGGTCCAAGGGTCAAATGGACTGTTGGATCTCACCCCAATGTGTGGTTCATCCCTGTTGGATCTCACCCCAATGTATGGTTCATCCCACACCTGTAACCCTCCCCTGGAGCATCAGGAGTCTGTGACCCCATTGGCCTGAGTCTTGTTCCAGCCCACCTTGAACCCCCTGACAAGGAGTCCCTGAGGAGCCAGACGGGCTCTTGGAACTTCCCTTCTCTTGGAACTTCCCCTCTCCTGGAACATCCTCTTGGGATCCTCTCTTATCTCCCTCTACCCCTTGCCTCTCCCTTCCCCAACTCCCTCGGGCCTGCCACGGGTCACGCCAAGCAGGGCCTTCCACCCTCTCTAATAAACCAGATATTCTAAGAGCAGCCTCCAGAGATCTCTGGTCTCCATCCATCCAAACCGTCCTGGAGCCCAGCGTCCCCGCACCGGGTGTCTCACCTGCTGCAGCCCCTGCGTGCCGGACACGGGCACCTGCATGATGGTCTGGCCCTGGCCCCCGGGCACGGCCTGCACCATGATGGGCTGGCCCGTGGAGGTGATGAGCTGCCCCCCGCTCACCTGCACCATCAGCGGCTGCCCCTGCACCTGCAACAACAAGGCAACAATGAAAACCCCGCCAGAGCGGCCCCAGAGCTCAGCCTTGGCCCTGTGGGGGCAGAGGAACTGGGGAACAGGCACTGAGCTGCTTCAAAGCAACTCTGGGTTCCAGCATGTGCTATGGATTTAGGGAGTTATCTTGCTTCTCCTGCAGTTTAGGTGTTATAAAGCATGAAAACCACATTTTCCAGCCACTACCTTCATGCACAGCCCAAGAGCAAAGTGGGATAAAAAACTTCATTATTCACCTCGCAATTACTGATTTTTAGTTGAGGTTCCTATTGAGAGAACTCTGTTCTGACAGGGAGGTTCTGAGGTGGCTTCAGCTCCCTCCAATTTCATGCCTACAACATTCCCATTTCCAAACTGACACAGAGCATGGGATGTGCTGGGAGAAACTCCATGGTTATCGAGGGAAATTGTAACTGGAGCAACACGAAATGGAGTTCAGGGAGGAAAAGTCAAAGTGGATGAGCGGCAGCCACTTCTGGGCCCACAAAGGCTTAGACTGGATATATAAATATAAAATATAAAGTGTGAGGGTGGGGAGCCCTGGCACAGGCTGCTCAGAGAAGCTGTTGGCTGCCCCTGGATCTCTGGAAGAGTCCAAGGACAGGCTGGACAGGGCTTGGAGCACCCTGGGATAGGGGAAGGTGTTGGGGTTGGAACTGAGTGAGCTTTAAGGTCCCTTCCCACCCAAACCAGTCTGGGATTCTGAGGTAACTTTGGCCTGAGAATCTCTGGACTCTTGGACCAGGTATTTCTCTGGTCACTGGAAAAAAGGCCCATGAAAAGAAAAAAAAAAAAGGGGAAAACCTCTCTGTTCGAACCCCCTCACCTGCCAAGTCCCCAGATTCCCAAAACACATCTTGAAAAATACTCTACCTCCACAGCCTAAATGCAAAATTAGTCTCATGAACTCGAGGATCACAAAATCTGATTTGTTTAGGAACAAGAACATCACAATGCGGTAAAGTCACCCAGTTCCTGTGTTTCACACCCAGGGGGTGAAGAGCCAAATTCTGCCCTGGCAATTTGAGTTTCCAGGTCCCCACTCTGTCCCTCAGCCTGTCCATGTACCATCCAAAGCCCTCAGCCCCTGGGCTGGGTCACACAGGGAGGAGCATGCTCAGGTCAGCACAGAGAAGCACAGGCAGCAGCACAATATCCAAGAAGCAGAAAGGAAAACAAGACATTCCGGGATTTTTGTTAATAAATCACAGCAAGGCAAAATAGAAAAAAAAAAAAATGGTGAGGAGAACATAACAACAACCAGAGTGAGCCCCAGTGAGCCCAGCAATCCAAGTCAGGCAGCATCTGAGATTTGAACTCTGAACATAAAAAATGCTGTGTTAATTCTGCAGCTGGCAGGGCCAGTCCAGCCCCTTGGAACCACCCTGCTCTGAAGAACTACAAACCAAACCAAACCAGAACAGAGTGCAAGACTGGCTGCCCAGGGTCTGTCAACTGCTCTACAAAGGGCTCCTGGAAAGCCTGGGTGAGTTAAGGAAGTGGAGGCTGCTGCAAGATAGAAAATACTTCACACTGAAACCAATTTCTTTCCAAACTGGGATGTGTTGCTGTTTGGATCCACATGGCTCCTGGGTTTCCCTGTGCTGTTCACAGGTAAAGAAGAAATTGGATCTCTCAGTGCCAATCTTGTCCCCAGGTGCCTTTTCAGTCCCAGCTGAGAAGGTTCCACTGTCCAAGCTCAGGCTCTGGCACCACCTCTGTCTGCCTCATGCAGTGAAGGCAGAGCCCTCCTTCAGGGAAGAGCTCAAAACCCCAATTTCCTTGGAATTACAGGAAATCTTTGGGGTTTATCCCAACTGTTACTTCCTCATTTTGGTGTTTATAACTTTAAAGTCGCACTGAACCGCAATTCCCTTCCAGAATTCCTGGCATGCACCTGGGAACAGCTCCAATGCCATGGCAAACCCTAGAGGCAGCAGCCAGCAGAGATTCCTGCTCCACATCCCCCTGCTCCTCCTGGAAACCCTGGGAAAACACAGCATTAGATATGTGGTGCTGGGGAGGGTCATGCAGTGCTCAGAAACACAATCAGAGAGGTCACCACTACCTGGAGGGTCTGGACTTGCTGGCCTGAGGCCGATGCCACCTGGGCCTCAGTCTGCAGCTGGACAGCTGTGACACCTCCCTGCTGCTGGGAACAGGAACAGGGAGAGCTTGAAACATGGAAATGCACAACACACTGCTGGGACAGGGGGTGGGGTTCATACACGCTGCTCCAGGAACACCAGGAATGGGAATTTTAGCAAACCTAAGGGTGGAGTTCCCTGGAACTGCAGGTGGCACTGCCAGGCTTCAATATTCCAGCTCAGAGGGAACAGGACAGGTCATTTTGCAGGATTTCAAACTCAGTTTCAGGGTTTTAGTATTGAAGTTTCAGGCTTCAATATTCCAGCTCAGAGGGAACAGGACAGGTCATTTTGGAGGATTTCAAACTCAGTTTCAGGGTTTTAGTTTTGAAGTTTCAGGCTTCAATATTCCAACTCACAGGGATCAGGACTAGACATTTTGTAGGATTTCAAGCTCACTTTCAGGGTTTTAGTTTTGAAGTTTCAGGCTTCAATATTCTAACTCAGAGGGATCGGGACTAGACATTTTGCAGGATTTCAAACTCAGTTTCAGAGTTTTAGTTTTGAAGTTTCAGGCTTCAATATTCCAACTCACAGGGATCAGGACTAGACATTTTGGAGGAATTCAAACTCAGTTTCAGGGTTTTAGTTTTGAAATGTCAGGCTTCAATATTCCAACTCACAGAGATCAGGACTAGACAGTTTGCAGGATTTCAAGCTCAGTTTCAGGGTTTCAGTCTGCTCACTGCCCAGGTTTGGCACTGTGAAGGGTTCCAGATTTTGGGCACACTGGTTTGTCCCAACAAAGCCCCTCCTGCAGCACAGTCTGAGCTCATCTCTGCCACCCCTGTGTCGGTGTCTGCCCACCAGTGACCCTGAGGGACAGACTGGAGAGGCTGCAGGAGCAGTCAGAGCTAAAAGGCTTTTCTATCTTTAGCCTCTTTGCTCAGAGTCCCAAAATACTCCCAGTAACTGTGTTAGCATGGGGAGATGAAGGACAGCTCCCTCCCAAGTGCTGCAACAGCCTGGTTAAACAACTTATTTTAGTAAAGTGTTTCACATCAGACGCAGGCTTTAAGTTGTGCTGAAAATGAAAGCCAAGAGTTGGTTTTATCTCTTTTTGATCTAGAAAATGTCAATAAACCAACGACATCTTTGGTTATCTGCTGCAAACAGGTATTTGGGATAATCCTTAATATAAAATGTTTTAATCTCAAATGCAATCTTGTTCTGGCTGAAAAAGTCAACTCCAGCTAAACCCAGGGGAAGGATTTGGTCCCTGAAATCTCCCTGAAAACATCATCAGTGGCTCAGCCCTTTGCATGGCAAACCACCAAACCCCCTCAAACTAGAGCAGAAGATGCAACAAAAAATCAGCAGCAGCTGAAAACACATCCCCAAATCTGGATATGGAAATCAGTAAGACCTCTAAACTCAGCCCTGGTATTTTACACTTTGAAACATGAACTTCTTTGTGGGATTGATGAGTTCATCATAAGATACATGGTTGGCTGAATTCCTGTTCTGTGTGTTTGTTTTGTTCCACCTGTTGTTCTGAAACAAAGAATCTCTACAAATGTTCATTTGATAAAACTGGAAGAAACCCCTGTGGGCTTGAACAAAATCTATTTCAACTTTGGGGGAATTTTTCTTGTGGACAATTGATTTGTTTCTCTTAATATTGTTTCCTCCGTTTTCAGAGATGTGTTAATATATTTTTAGATGTCTTTATATTTTACTTTCCCCATCTCAATACCATTTTGCAAACTCCCTGCTACACTGAAATTTGGTAACATGTACACCTGCATTTTCATTTTAATTTTATATAACGTTTTGTATTCAAATAAAATGTTATACATTTAATTTCATTTTTTAAAATATAGTAAGTGTATTCTAAAAAACACGTTTTCTCTGACTTCCAGGCAGGTGCCATCAGTGCCCAGGTGACAGAAGTCAGGTGAACAGGTAGCCAGGAGGATCAGGATTGTGCTGCTGAAACCAAGTTCTTCCCAAATTGGGACGTGTTGCTGTTTGGATCCACAAGGCTCCTGGGTTTCCCTGTGCTGTTGTTCACAGGTAAAGAAGAAACTGGATCTCTCAGTGCCAATCTCGTCTCTTTTCAGTCCCAGCTGAGATGGTTCCACTGTCCAAGCTCAGGCTCTGGCCCCACCTCTCCTCAGGGAAGAGCTCAGAACCCTCATTTCCTTGGAATTACAGGAAATCTTTGGGGTTTATCCCCACTGTGCCCCCCTGGGGGGTGCACAGGGCTCCCCCATTCCGTACCTGCTGCTGGATCTGCCCCGCCTGCACCACGATCTGCTCCGTGGAGCTGCTGCTGTTGGCTGTGTACTGCTCCATGGTGCCTCAGCCCCTGCAAGACAGCAAAAATCAGGGGAGCTGCTGTCCCCAGACCTGCCCATCCCCACTGTCCCCCAGCAGCTCCAAGCCAAGCCAAGCAGAAGCTGCCCCAGGAACTGCACTTCAAGAATTCAGCAGAGCTGTGAAGACTCCTCTCCTCATTTTTCTTCCCTCTCCTCCTGCTCTCATGGAATGGTCATTAAGGATCATCCAGGGCCACCCCAGGTTGATCCAACCTGGCCTTGGACACTTCCAGGGATCCAGGGGCAGCCACAGCTCCTAACCCAGGGCCTCCCCATCCTCACAGGGAGGAATTTCTTCTCTAAAGAAGTATTTCTGTACTCAAATACAACCTTCATGTATTTTGGGAAGCAGCAGTAGATTTCCCAGCACCTCCATCCTCTCACTCCTTGGCCCTTTCCCTGGACACATCAACCCCACTGTGCTGAAATAAAAACAACTTTTCCTGCCACTGCTTCTCTCCTCACTGGCCCTACAACAGCAGAATTCCTGCTTTAGTGAGGTGTTTGATTTATGCCACAGCTGAACAAGTTCCTGCTGCACTGCTGAAAGAAAACACAGCCTGGAACTTTAATTTTCCAAGTCTAAAGCAACAAAACCTCTGGCTGCCTAATTTTTCAAGGAATGCTGGCAGGATTAAGTCACAGACTCTCTGTACCCGTTGCTGTGGTTACTGCTGCTGTTTGAGTTCCATCCCTTGCCCATTTCCTGAGACTTTTTCACAGCCAGAATAAAAGAAGATAAATACTCTTTCTGAAAATGCTGCTGCCAGATTCTCATTTCAATTTCTGCCTTAAATTAAAAATTTTAATCAAAACATTTAACAGCTCTGTAATCCCAACACACTGCAGCAGCTGCCCAAAGATATGGACAAGGTTCTGCCAGTGCTGGATCCTTACCATCCAAGGGATTATCTCATCCCCTTCGTTAAACATGGAGTAGCCAAATTAAATATTAAAGATCAGGGATGAATCAATGGCAGAGGATGACAGCTCTTCCCTCAGTGAGCTCATGGGCAGCTCCTCCTCACTGGGAATGCTCTGGGAATCAGGGAGTGTTCCAGTCCCAGCAGCAGATATTTATATAGACACCATATATAAAAATATATATAGATAGATATATACATATATATTTACTGAGTTGTATAGGACTTATTAGGATCATCAAACTCCTGGCCTGGCACAGGATAACTCCAAAAATACACACAAATATTTATACATATATAACACATATAATTTATATTTATACAAATCGGAGCTCCCGGTGGAAGCCAGCCATGAGCCGGGGGTCATCCCGGTGTGCTCGAACCCGTGGCTCCCCCAAAGGCCAGCCCTGCCACCGGAGCACCGCGTGCCGGGACACATCTGGGCAGCTACACCGGGACCGGACGGGGCAGCCCGGACCGGCGGGGAGGCTCCCGGGGAGGGCGGGGCCCCGCCGGGGGAACCGGCCCGGCCCCGGTTCCCCCCTCAGCTCCTGAGTGGCCGCGGCCCCGCTCGTCCCCCGTTCCCCCCTCAGCCCCTGAGTGGCCGCGGCCCCGCTCGGCCCCGGTTCCCCCCTCAGCCCCTGAGCGGCCGCGGCCCCGCTCCTCTCCGGTTCCCCCCTCAGCCCCTGAGCGGCCGCGGCCCCGCTCGGCCCGGCTCGGCCCCGGTTCCCCCTGAGCCCCTGAGCGGCCGCGGCCCCGCTCCTCTCCGGTTCCCCCCTCAGCCCCTGAGCGGCCGCAGCCCCGCTCGGCCCGGCCCGGCCCCGGTTCCCCCCTCAGCCCCTGAGTGGCCATGGCCCCGGTTCCCCCCTCCGTCCCTGAGCGGCCGCGGCCCCGCTCGGCCCCGGTTCCCCCCTCAGCCCCTGAGCGGCCGCGGCCCCGCTCGGCCCCGGTTCCCCCCTCAGCCCCTGAGTGGCCGCGGCCCCGCTCGGCCCGGCCCGGCCCCGGTTCCCCCCTCAGCCCCTGAGTGGCCGCGGCCCCGCCAATCCCGGCGCGCGGGGGCTCCATATTGGCCGCTCGCGCTCACCGTGCCGCGCTGCCCGGTCCGCGCCCCGCGCTGATTGGCTCCGCCGCGCGGCCCCCAAGCCCAATCAGCGCCCGCACTCGCCCGCCGCGCAAAATGGCGCCCAACCGCGGACAAAGGGGGAGAGAGGGGCGGGGGCGGGGCCGCCCAACCGCGCGCCTCGCCCTGCCCGGCGCCGCTGCGCATGCGTGGGGGCTGCGGGGAGCATGCGCGGGGCGGGTCCCGCCTCCCGCAAGCTCCGCCCCTTGTGCGGAATGTTCTGGGCCGGGACCATGGAGGGGGTCCGCCCGCGCGCGCGGAGCGGGGCGGCCGCCATGTTGTGTGGGGCGGGGCCGCCGTGTGGGGTGGGGCATGGCCGCCGTGTTGTGTGCGGCATTACCGCCGTGTTCCGTGAGGCGATACCGCCATGCTGTGTTCACCATTACTGCTGTGTAGTGTGAGGCGATACCGCCATGCTGTGTGCGGCATTACCGCCGTGTTTTGTGAGGCGATACCGCCGTGTTGTGTGCGGCGTTACCGCCGTGTTCCGTGAGGCGATACCGCCGTGTGGTGTGGGGCATGGCCGCCATGTTGTGTGCGGCATTACCGCCGTGTTCTGTGAGGCAATACCGCCGTGCTGTGTGCAGCATTACCGCCGTGTTCTGTGAGGCGACACCGCCGTGTTCCGTGAGGCGATACCGCCGTGTTGTGTGCGGCATTACCGCCGTGTTCCGTGAGGCGATACCGCCGTGTTGTGTGGGGCATGGCCGCCATGTTGTGTGCGGCATTACCGCCGTGTTCCGTGAGGCGATACCGCCGTGTTGTGTGCGGCATTACCGCCGTGTTCTGTGAGGCGATACAGCCAAGCTTTGTGCAGCATTACCGCCGTGTGGGCTGAGGACGATCCGCCACATCCCCGCGCGGCGAGTCCGCCATTTCGCCCGTGAGGCGGAGCCGCTGAGGCTGAGGCGGTACCGCCAAAGCCGCCCTGAGGCGGAGCCGCCGAGGCTGAGGGAGTATCACCAATGTGGCCCTGGGGCGGAGCCGCCGAGGCTGAGGGAGTATCACCAATGTGGCCCTGAGGAGGCGGCGCGGTGCGGCCGCGAGGCGGGGCCGCCCCTGAGGCTCGGCCGGAGCGATGTGGGCGGCGCTGGGCAGGCTCGGCGTGGCGCAGGCCGTGGGCCCGGCCCGGTTGATCGCTGTGCGACCCGCGGGTGCGGCGACCGAGTGGCCCTGAGGGATGGGAGGGGAAGGAGGAGGAGGAGAAGGAGGGGGATAATGGTGGTGAGGAGGAGGGCGGCAGCCTGTCACAGATCAGTTAGGCTCAGCCTTGCTCCTTCTAGCACACTCATACTGCCTAGCTTGAGGTTCCTAATAATTGTTTTTCTCTCATCTTTCCAGCCGCAGGAGCCTTCTACATACCCCACGTTACCATGGCCACCCACTTCTCCAAGGATCAGGAGGAGAGAGTGCGTAGGAAATGGGTTACATGGGATTATTATTGTCTGTTCAAAGAGGCCATCCCCTCATTACAGTCCTGACAGCACGGCACTGGCTGTATCATGCAGCTTTTGAGAGCAAAAGTGGCTGCCAGTGCTGAATTCAATGTGCTTTTTGTGTGTAATGTCAGTGGGGTAGATGCTGTGCAGCAGCACAGAGCTCACCTGCCTGCCTGAGCACCTCAAGACTGGTGCTGCTGGAGGGGTTTCACTAATCCAGCTGTGCTCCCTGTCACATAATTACCCTTTTAAGCTTTGATTTTGTAAGATTACCTGCTGAGCTGGCACCGTGATGCTTATAAACGGTCTTGTTGAGAAGATGTAGTGGGTTTGTAATTCCGTGTATGGGGTTTGCAATCCTCTGTTGTGGGTTTGCAATCCTCTGTAGTGGGTTTGTAATTCTCTATATTGGGTTTGTTATTCTCTGAGTTGGGGTTGTAATGCCGTGAATTTGGTTTGTAGTTCTGCCTGTGGGGTTTGCAATTCCACATGTGGGGTTTGTAATTCCCTCCTTTGGGTTTGTAGCCCGTGCCAGCTCAAACACTTCCACCCTGCACAGCATACTCAAACCCTGCCCCTCTTACTGCCCAGTCCCTGCTCAGCAGAGCCCTGTGTGCCCTCTGAGGAGGTTTTGCTGCCCCTGCCCTGCAGATCAGGTGTGTGAAGGGGGACCTGTTCTCGTGCCCGGGCACGGACGCCCTGGCTCACTGCATCAGCGAGGATTGCCGCATGGGCGCCGGCATCGCCGTGCTCTTCAAGAAGAAGTTTGGAGGCGTCCAGGAGCTCCTGGATCAAAGTGAGTGAGGCCTGAAGGAGCTCCTGATTTCCAGCAGGGAGAGTGTTGGAGCTGCTTATGGTTATGAAGTTTGGCTGTTCTGAAAAAACCTTGATTTTTGTGCTTTAGAGAAGAAGACAGGGGAGGTGGCAGTTCTGCAGAGGGATGAGCGGTACATTTACTACCTGGTAAGGGCTGGGGTGGCACTGGGACACCTCCCTGGAGCTATAGTGTGTCACATATCAGGCATTGATAGCTTGGGGGTTTTGGTCATGTTCATGGAATCAGGGAATCACAGAATGGTGGGGTGGGAAGGGATCTTAAATCTCATCCTGAGCAGGGACACCTTCCTTTATCCCAGGGTGCTCCAAGCCTGTCCAGCCTGGCCTTGGACACCTCAGGGATGAGACAGCCACAACTGCTCTGGGCAGCCTGTGCCAGGGCTTCACCACCCTCACAGGGAATAATTCCTTCCCAATATCCCATCTAACCCTGCCCACTGGCAATGTGAAGCCATTCCTCTTGTCCTGTCTCTCCAGACCCTTGAAAATAAATAGTCTGTGTCTTGTTGGCTCCCTTGGGGCACTGGAAGGGAGTTTCTGGAATGTTCCTCTCACTAAGAGATGTGTCCTTAACCATTGCCTGTGAGGAGCAGCCAAGCTGCTGTGTGCATCTGCATTTCAGCTTTACATGGACAGAACTGGCTGCTAAATTTGGGTGTTTTAAGCTGTGAAATGTTCTTTGCTCAGGTCCTTCCGCAGAGGCAACTGTGGGTGTGGAGTTTTGGGGTATCAGGGAACGTGTGTTTTGTGCCAGCATTTACAACACACAGACGTTTGCAGGGGTCATGCCCAAGGCCCAGCTGAGCTTTTCTGTTTTTCTGTAGATTACAAAGCAGAAGGTTTCTCACAAGCCCACGTATGAGAGCATGCAGAAGAGCTTGGAAGCCATGAAAGCTCACTGCCTGAACAACGGAGTCACCGACATCTCCATGCCCAGGTGAGGGGCTCAGGAGCTGGCTGCCAGTGCTTGGGTGTTTAATTTCTAGAAGGATGTCTGGGGGATGATCCCCTGCTGTGAAATAAGAATTCAAGCATCCACCTCTATCCAGCTCCTCTGTTCAAAAATCTAATTTGCATTTCCCTGTGCATTTATTTCCTTGTTCTCCCCACGTCCTGTGGGTTTATGGGGAGCTGTGGCAGGGCCACCTCAAGCTGCAGCTGCTGCCAGGGCTGGTTGGGCACGGCACAAGGCCCAGCAAAGCTCTTTTGGTGCTTTATCTTCCAGGATTGGATGTGGACTGGACGGCCTGCAGTGGGAAAAGGTGTCAGCCATCCTTGAGGAGGTGTTTGCGAACACGGACATCAAGATCACAGTTTACAGCCTGTGAGCAGAACAAAGATCCCCACTTCACCCAATTTTGGGATCAGAACCTGTGAACTGTCAAGGAGGGGGGACCTGTGTGTGGAGCACGTTCTGCATTCGCGTGTCACTCACTCGTGGGACAGTGACAGGGGCTTCCAGCAGCAACAAGCTCCGGAGAAGTTAATTTGAGCTGTTAATTAGCAGGAGGCAGCGGCGCTGTGAAAACCCTGGGGAGCTCCCAGCGTGTCCCTGCAGCCACCAGGTGTCACTGGGGCTCCGCACAGCGAACGGAGCCGCTGCCTCGTGGGTTTCTCTTTGGCTTGCTGCTGATGAGCTGCCCCGGGCAGCGCTGCCACCTCTGCTTTGTTCTCTTTGCGATGCCCTGCCTGGCACCGGGGTCACTCACCTGTTCTCACAGCCGGAACGGTTTCATTTCTCCCTTCCGGTCACAAATTTGGTTTGCTGAGATCGTGCTCACTCAGGATCATGCTGTGGTGTGAAATAAACAGTGCCCTGCTGTTGCATTGTACCTTTGGCTGTTCTGGGGACAGGCTGGGATTGCTGCAGGGGAGTAAATACACCTGGTGGGTGTGTTTTATTCAGCAGCTCTATAATTTAGTCTGCAGAGGTCTGTTTGGTGAGGATCCAAACAGGCTGATGTGCTCTAAAAACTCACAGGATGGAGCTGAAGGTGGGATTTTCACATTTCACAAAGGTTGGTGTTTGTCACCCAAAACAAAAGCAAATCAATACCGCCCTCGCTTCCTGAGATCCATGGAAAACTTCTGATTTGGAAGAGTTTGTTCCAGCACTGAGGAACTGCCACACACTTTCCCTTCATGTTTGGTTTGTAAACCCTCCCACAATAACAAATCTTTTGGATTTCTGTCATTCTCAATGCCCAGAAAAGTGCCAGGTGTGTTGAAATATAAAAATGGAACATAAGAGTTGGGAATGTTGTAACATGACAGGGTTCCCAGTTGAATTCCTTGGGAAGGGACTGGGTTACTCAGTTCTGCTGCTGCTGCAAATCCCGTTTGTCTTTAAGATCTCCCTATCCTTACTCTCCTTGTTCCTTGCCCATATTTTGTAGACCTGTTTGGTGGGGAATTGCTGTAGCTGGGAAAAATAACAAAGAGGAATTTGGAGCAATGAGCTGATCCAGAACAGGCACTGAGGCTGCTCATGGATTCAGTCTTTCCCCTTATTTATGTCTGGGTTTTTGTTCTGGTTCCTTACTCATGGCATCCCCGTGAGCTTTGTTTTACATGGAAAATAATCCTGCTCTCCAACACTTGTGTGTACTCTGGAATTTTTTTTGGCATTTAGTTCTCCCTTCCCAGCTACAAAATATTCCCTGTGTGGCTGTCCCGGGATGTCCTCGAACTCAGACTTGTCAGGTTCAATTTAGGACTTCTTGCATGTAGAGAAGAAGGAATAAACAGTGTTTTGGCTTTTGCAGTGGCTTCCCATTTTATTTCACTCTGCTTTTCCCAGGTTTATATCCCAGACAACATTGTTTGGTATCAAGTTCTTGGGCTCCATCATGATTTGGAAGAGAGCTGTTGCCCCAAAATTTAATCACAGCTCTTGACTATTGAGGAGAACAGAGGGAGAAAACTTCTTTTTCACCTTAAATCCCTTTCTTTTCCCCTTTCTAATGCATTTATCTAACCAGCAGCTTTGTTCTAAGGTCTCTTCCCATGAAATATTCCCAGAATATGATCCCACAGCCTGCCTGTGGATCATTACCATCCCTTTCACCACAGCATGGGTTTGGTTGGGGCAGGGAGGGGGAGGAACAAAAAACACCCAAAAAATCCCAAACACCAGAGGTCTGTTTGTGTGTGTGTGTGTGTTTGGAGTCCCACAGGGCCTTGTCTCCCAGAGGCTGGTTCTCCATCCTGCTGGAATCAAAGCTTTGGGAAGCAGGACTGTCCTAGGGGTCCAGGTCTGTCACATCTCTTCATGGATCCTTTCTGATCCTGGGGAGGGAAAAAGAGATGTCCTAGAGACTCACAGGTGACTGAAAAGGAAGAGGGAATTCTGCAACCACTGGTATTTCCTTTATTGGTGTTTTTTAGACTTTGGGGTGTGAGTTAAATCCCCTTCAATCTCCATTCCTCTCCCTGTTGTCCTGAACATCATCCCTGAGGGGAACAGGGAGGTGTTCTGGTGGCCCTGGAACCTTTTTATTCTTTATTCCTGGAGGAGAAGACAGAAAAGCACTAAATCCCTTGGGAATGTGCTGTGGGGGAGCCCCTGGAAGGGGAAACCAACTGCCTGGGATTATTAGCAATATTCAGCTGGCAATAAGAGAAATTGGAACACAAATTAAAGAGAGGGGAGTTAAGGAGTGACCCCCTCGCTCACCTGAGCCTCAGTGCAAGATCTCCGCCAGCTTCTCCTCATAGTACTGGAAGTTCTCCTGAATATCCTCCCAGGGCACAAAGGACTTGGCCTCCTCCCCTTCCTCCTGCTCCACAAAGTTCTTCCAGACATACTCAAAGTCTTGAGGCTTCATAATCCTCAGCTTGCAGCCGGCCTCCTTCATGCTCCGGAGGGCCGCCTGCATCTCGGGCTCTTCCCACATGAAGAGCCTGCCCACCATGATGGTGAGGCGCAGCCCCTTGTTCTTGCGCAGGGCCTCACAGATCCTCTGGGCGCAGGTGACGCAGGGGCTGGAGGACACGTACCAGGTGACGTCGTGGCGGGCACCAGCCTGGCACGTGGGCAGGATGGTGTTGAAGAAAGCCATCTCGGCGTGGGCGGCCGCGTGCTCGTCCTCCAGGTAGCCCCGGCTGGTCACCGGCTCCTTGCCCTGCGTCTCCACCACGTAGCACAGGAAGGTTTTGTTCCTGCCCGAGCTGTACTCCACGTTCCTGAACTGGAATTTGAAGAAGATGGCTGGCAGGCGTTCCCTGGGAGAGCAGAGCAGAGCAGAGAGGAGGCTCAGAGGCACATTTAGCTAAGGGTCACACTTTTGGGTCACCTCTACCCATGACCCAAATCCTGTGGACAAATCACTGATTTCTGTGTTTCAAGGTTGTAAAATATCCAGGATCAAATCCAACTTTGCTGTGAAAATGTGAATTTCCTGCTTGAGTCCCTACTGATAAATTTCACCTACTCTTTTAATTTACTGTCCACATCTTCCCTTGTGTGACTCCAAGATCACCTCGTGGTGGAACATCTTATGGGATGGCTCTGGAGATGGGAAGGGAAAGGGATGGAAAAGTGGGAAAAAATGCACGTGGTTCCAAGAATAGCACATTTCCTACTTGATATCCTGAATAATGGGTGATTCTTTGGCTAAGGATTCTTTAATGAATGATTTTTTTGAAGGGCAGACGTGAGACGCCCATTCCAGGGCGGTGTCTGCAATGAGTGGTTTCACAATAACATCAGGTTTTTAAATACATCAGAGGCACAGGGAATTTCATCCCTGATTTAACTCTGACAGCAAAGGGCTCACAACAGTGACGAGGTTGGCTCTGGGTTTTCATGGAACAGCTGAAGCAGCAGCAGCCTGCTCCAGGATGGATTGACTCAGGCTGGATTGACTGGGAGCTGCATTTAGCCAGCCCTTCCTGATGGATTTTATTGCTTATCTCGGCGTGTGCCTGGGCTTAGCTGGGATGTTCACCTCCATTCTGCTCCCAGCAGTTTGGAATCTGCATTAGTTCCATTAATAACATTCCAATAAGGAATAGAAACAACACTCAGAGCCCATTCCAATGCCTGGCAGCTCTTGCTGTGAAGAAATTCCCCCTGATGTTCTCCCCTGGCACAATTTGAGGCCATTTCCCCTCATCCTGTTGTCTGGGAGAAGAGGCTGATTCCCCACCTGGCTCCAGCCTCCTGTCAGGGGGTTGTGGAGAGTGCAAATGTTTATGGAAATAATTTAAAAACTGCTCAAAGGCATTGGATTCCTTCATATTCTCAATATAAACCCCTGCTCTGACACCAGGTTGGGGTGGCACAGCTCACCTGAGGATAGGAAAGGTCAAAATTGAAACCTCCCCTGAAAAAAGCATCATTAAATGACATTGTTTAGGGATTTCTAAATGTTCCAACCTAATGTATCTGTTTTCCCTGGGTAGCAGTGATAGATCATATTAAGACCAAAAAAAAAAAAAAAAAATTGAAATTTGAGACAGAATCTTCAAATTGGGATTGAAGTTGCTGAAATCAGGTGGGCTGGAGGAAAGAGCAGCTACCCAGTGTGACCCTGGCACTGTCACACAGGAGAGAAGGAAAACATCTAATGAGGAAATAAAAATGTGCATTATCTAAAAGGCTAACAAGGAATTATTCCTCATTTACACCTGGGGAAAGTGGAAATAAATGTGGCAGCAAATGCTCCCAGATTAAAAAAAAAAAAAAAAAAAAAAAAAGGGATAAAATTTTTAAAAAGAGAATTTGGCTTGCCAGTGATTCCTGGAAGCCAGACTCCTCCTGGAGCTGTAAGCAGCAGAGTGAGAATTTGGCTGGGAGTCCTGAGATGCCCCTAATCCAAGGGCTGAAGATGAAATGCAACATTAATTGGGTTTAAGTGCTTCCTCCCTGGCTGCACTTGTGTTTCCTCATCACTCCCATTACTGCCTTGCCTGCCTGGGAATTTGTAAATCATTTCAAAACCCTCGTGGTGATCCCAGGTCAAGGCCTGGCCTGATCTCCTGGTGTCCTCCTTCAAATGAAACTAAAACATCCCTGGGCTTTCAGTGCCTCTCTGGGGGTCCTTTAGGATTTCTGCTTCACTTCCTCACTCTCCCCTTTGCAGGGTGGAAAATCCTGTCAAATCCTGGAGCACCCGTGGCATTCCAAGAAAGGATTTAATTGCAGGATGGTGCTAATGAAGTTTTCCAGCCGTGGTTAGCCCAGGGCCTTGGGCTGAGCAGGGAGGCTTGGACATCATCTCAGTCCCTCAGCATTTCTAACTGAGTCCTCCAAGGCTAGAAAACCCAATTTCCTCATTAAAATTCATTTTAGGACATGTCTTAAGTGTTCAGAACTTGGCCCAGTGGTTTATAGCCACAATTTTTGGCGCCTTAGCTCCACTGATTGATGTTCTTTCCATAAAAGCCACTACTAATAATTTATTTATGTGATTATGTGTGGCAGAGACCACCCCAAGAAGGGATTTTTTTTCACAGCAGTCACATTTTGAGAAGAGAATTGAGATTTTTCCTCCCCTGAGCAGGAATGGAACCCAGATTTGTGGCAGGGCTGCTGTCCTGCCTCACTCATCCTGGTTGGAACAGGCAGCCAAATTTCACCTGCAGAGCCCATGGCACAGGCAGAAGGATTCCAGGGGATATTTTGGAGGCCTGAGCTTTAGTTTTAAGGAGCTGGAAGAAATCCACGGATTGATTTATTTGCTGGGAATGATAAGGGAAATATGAGGGGAGAAGGACTCATCCTGCTGCTCCTCCAGGGAGCATTTGGAGGGAGCAGACACTCAGGGCTTTTCCTACTTGCAGCTGTCAATTATGGCTGAGAGTTCAGCTCTCAGTGATATCTTGCTTTTCCAAAGTCCAGGCTCCCTGCTGCCCTGCTGCCTTCAAAACTGCCTCTTGTTTTGGAGCCTTTCTGCAAGTTGGGCTTTTTGGATTCTTTATGAAAGTCAGGTTCCAGCTGTGGCTGTGGAGCTCTTGAAAATGTGAACCTTTAGGTCTCTTGAAAAATCTGTCCCTCAGGCCCATCAAGCCAATCAGCCATAGCAGGGGTGTTTTTCCTGATCCACAGGTGGAGAAACTCTCAGACAAGAGCCATTGATCACAGCAAGAAATCAATACCCAGCTCTCATCAAAGCCAACACCTCCATCCCCATCCCATCAGCGGGGCTTGGAGGGACCAGCACTGCAGAAACAGTTCCTATAAAACAAGTGCATTTCTGTGCCTGCCTGCTGGGAGTCCATCCTCTAAAAGTCAGCAAAAATTAGAACAAAACCCCACAACAAATCCAAACCATTTCAGACTCTTCAGAAACGCACTGGTAGGAGGTGCTGCTTGTGTTGCCTGACCTAAAAGCTGGGACAGAGCTCACTGAACTCCCCCAATTTCATATTTAAATCCCAATCTCTTACCCTGTCACAATCTCAAAGGGTGGCAGGTCCTCCCTCTTCACCTTCTTCTTCTTCCCCTCGCCCTCCTCGGTGTTGTCGGGTTCCCCGTTCTGGGCATTGCTGGGTTCCTCCTGCTTCTCTGCCATCTTCCCCAGGACACTGGGACCGAGCTGTGGCCACTGGGAGAGAGAAAGAGCAATTTCTGAGAGCTCTGGGAGCCGAGGGAGGAGGGAAAACAGAGCTGGGAGTTCCTGCCCCAGGCACAGTTGTCAGGAACTAAATATGGAACAAAGCGGCGGTGGCGGCAGGGGCTGGACAGGGTTGGGTGACCCAGGGCTCTCAGGTGTCACCTCCTTCCCCTGCTCTCTCCAGCTCCTTTCAGCAGCCCCTTTTGCTCCCCTTTTAATTTCAAACCAAGTGACAACGTCTCAGTGGGCGGGATGAGCCCATCATTTTCCCTGATGGAAAATCCTGGGAGCTCGAGTGTGCATTTCTCCTGGGCTGGCACGGGGCACTCCCTGCTCTCACAGCCTCTCCCTCCTCTGCCAGTGGATTCCACGGCTGACCTTGAAGGACCAGCTCAGCCTGGCCTGGCTCAGGCAAGAGGAGAAGGGGTGGTGGCTGTTTTGCTGGAAAATCTCTGGTTTTGGTGGGTTTGGCTTCCTGGATCACCTGCAGCATCCTGTGGTTCCTCCCACCCTGCTTGTTCAGGACTCTGAGGGGGAAATCTCCTCATCTGAGCTGTAGATCCCAGCCAGAACCTTCTCCCTGATGTTTGAAAGTCCAGCTGGAATTCCCAGTGGGCAGCAGTGCTGCTTCTCCCATTGTTCTGCATTTTCCTCCCCTGTTGCCCGAGTGTTCCAGAAGTTCCCAGTGCACTGGGATAGATCTGGGCTGGAGGGGTTGTTCCCTCTCTTTTTTGTTCCCCTCAGGGTTATATGAAACTATCCCAGCATCTCACTAATTTCAATCATTTACAGTTTGTATCAATCCTGCCTGAGCTGAGTTTAATTAAAAACCTGGGTGAGGTTTTCCCAGGGACCAATCCTGGCCATGCCATGGGGCAAAGGAAGTGGGAAAAGTGTGGCTGTGCAGGATTTTGGAATCAAAGCACGCTGGAAACCAATGTGGGCTCTGCACTTAGCTCAGAACACACCAGCAGCAAACTTTGAGTAAATATGGAATATTCAGCTGTATTTGATGGAGTCTTCAGTCAGTATTAGCGGGAAAACCTGCTCTTAGTTTGAGGAGGAGAAGAGGTATTCCATAAAAATCACATCAGTGGGAATATCTGCTTTGAAGCCAAGTCAGCCTTTGTGATCCTGTTAAATTCAGCTCTTTAGAGCCTTGGGAGGAGGCTGCACCATCACAAAGTGAAATAAATCCACACCATCAGCCAGGTCGTTTATTATCAGAGAAAATTAATAACAAATTATCACAGATAATTAATTCTGGCTGCTCTTCCCAGCCCCCTTGTCATCACCCTTCCTTTGCTGGGCTGGAAATCCCTTGGAGCTGTTCCCCAGTGCCACCGTGGGTGCAGGTTTTGGGGACAGAGCACCCCTTTGATGAGTTGTTGTTTAGGTGGTGTTGTTTAGGTGACAGAGCTGGCAGTGGTGACAGCCCAACCGAGGATTTGACAAATTTCAAGACATCCTATCCATGGAACATATATCTTCCACGGCGCAGGATTTTATTTATTTTTAAGCCTAAAATACTTTCCTGCAGGGCAGGGGTGGTGTTTTGCCTCCTGTGTGGTGACAACGCTCAAATTCCACCTCCCCTGTCCAATTGCTGTCACCTCTGACATTTCAGGGGCTGCTTTTAGGGTGGGAATCCTCTCCCGATGACTGACAGCTCATTTCCTCCTAATCCTGATATTTTCAAGCAGCATCTCAGCCCCTCTCCAATCCCTCTGACCCACTCTGCTTTATTTTTGGAAGCTCTTCATGGCTGGGGTGCCAGTTTTGCTGCAGCTTTAGCCTGGCCCCTCCGAGGGCTGAGCTCTAATCTAATCTGGGGAATGTGGCACCGAGGCTCCCCCTCTCCCCAGCCTTTCCCAGCTGCTCCCCAGCTCCTTCTAGGGCAGTGCTTGGGACAGCCATGATCCTCCCCCCACTGCAGCCAAAAATATAAAAGGGCACCACGGAGCTGCTGCGTCGGAGCCGGGCTGGGTGAGGGCTCTGCTGGCTGCTGGTGACCCCAAATGTGTCCCCAGCAGCACTCAGGGGACCCCAAATTGTGCACCTGCCAGCCAGAGTTTGTGTTGAGGTTCCTCTCCACCTGCCCCTGTCCCCACTCATTTCATATTTTATCCAGTTTCCTCAGAATTTGTTCATAAAATCCCAGGATCACTGAGGTTGGAAAATCCCTGTGGGATCATCGAGTCCCGGCTCTGCCCGACCCCCACCCTGAGCGCTCAGTGCCACCTCCAGGTGCCACCTCCAGGGATTGGGCACCCCAAACCCCCCTGGCAGCCCCTTCCAGCCCTTCCCATGAGGAAATTCCTGCTGATGTCCAACCTGAGCCTCCCCAGCACAGCCTGAGGCCGTTCCCTCTCCTCCTGTCCCTGTTCCCTGGGATGAGATCCCAAATCCCCCCCGGCTGTCCCCTCCTGTCAGGAGCTGTGCAGAGCCAGAAATTCCCCCTGAGCCTCCTTTGCTCCAGGCTGAGCCCCTTCCCAGCTCCCTCAGGGCTCTCCAAACCCTTCCCAGCTCCCTCAGGGCTCCCCAAACCCTTCCCTGATCCCTCAGGACTCCCCAAACCCTTCCCTGATCCCTCAGGGCTCCCCAAACCCTTCCCAGCTCCCTCAGGAATTCTCCAAACCCTTCCCAGCTCCCTCAGGGCTCTCCAAACCCTTCCCAGCTCCCTCAGGACTCTCCAAACCCTTCCCAGCTCCCTCAGGAATTCTCCAAACCCTTCCCAGCTCCCTCAGGGCTCTCCAAACCCTTCCCAGCTCCCTCAGGGCTCCCCAAACCCTTCCCAGCTCCCTCAGGACCCTCCAAACCCTTCCCCAGCTCCTAGGGGACAGCCTGTGCTGGGAGAAGCTTCCAGGCTCTGCTGGAATTTTGGATATTGAGGATCCTGCATCCATCCAAGTCCAGAGCAGCTTCTTCAGCAGCTTTAGAGGCACCTCTGAGCGCTCCCATGGCTTTTATCCCCCGCCAGGGATCTCTGCAGCCCCGTGTCCCCTCAGGTCGCTGCTGTCCCTCTCCTGGCAGCAGCAATTCTCGGAGTTCACCTGGCTCTTCCCTTTCCCCATCACCCACACCTGCCAAAAAAAAAAAAAAAATTAAAAAAAGGAGCTTTGATGGTATTGTGGGGCCGGAGGAACATTTTGGATAGATGGGAGAGTGAAATAGGAGCCAGGCCGAGTGAGTCACGGCTCGGCCGTGCCCTCCACGCCAAGGGGACAGCTGGTGGCACTAACAAATGTCTCCCTGGAGACATTGGCAGCCAGCCCCCTCCTGCTTTTTGCAGCTGTAACTACGGGACAAATAAATAAATAAACACCGACAGCTTCTCTTCCTCCCTTCCTTCCTTCGGGGTTCTCACCTGACCTTCTCCTCCTGCCTCAGGACCAGAAAGGCTTCCAGGAGGGCTGGAAACCCACGGGATTGACATGGGCAGTGCCCAAATGCTGCTGGAAGATGCTCCAGGTGTGCTGAGCCCCAGGTGGGAGATGCCCTCACCTGGGCACTGCCCCTCCCTCCCATCCAGAGCCTCCCTGGCTCTCCACCCCCAGCCTGGCACATGAGCAGCCTTGGCAGGCGCTGCTGCCTCCCCAATTAATTAAATCCCAACTGGGAGTTAATGACAGCTCCCTGCAGCTCCTGCGAGCAGCTCTGGTGGGAAGAGAGCTCCCAGCACAGGAATTTGTGTCCTGCAGTGGCAGGACCTGGCAGAGCGGCTGTGCCACCTGCACGGAGGTGACAAAGCCTGGCTGGCACCGCAGTGGGAGATTTGGGACAGCTCCAGGCAGCAGCAAAGTGGGGAGAGATGCAGCAGAGTGCTGGGACAGCTGGGGGAGAGGGGAGAGGGAAAAGGAAGGGGGAGGAAAAAGAAAGGGGAAAGGAAAAAGAAAGGGGAAAGGAAAAAGAAAGGGGAAAGAGAAAAAGAAAGAAAGGGGAAAGGAAAAAGAAAGGGGAAAGGAAAAAGAGAAAAGGAAAAATAAGGAGAAAAGGAAAAAGAAAGGGGAAAGGAAAAAGGAAAGAGAAAAGGAAAAAGAAAGAGAGAAGGAAAAAGAAAAGGGGAAAGAGAAAAGGAAAAAGAAAGGGGAAATTAAAAAGAAAGGGGAAAGAGAAAAGGAAAAAGAAAGAGAAAAGGAAAAAGAAAGGGGAAAGGAAAAAGAAAGGGGAAAAAAAGAAAAGGAAAAAAAAAAAGAAAGAGAAAAGGAAAAAGAAAGAAAGGGGAAAGGAAAAAAGAAAGGGGAAAGAAAAAGAAAGAAAGGGGAAAGGAAAAAAAGGGGAAGGAAAGGAAAGGAAAGGAAAGGAAAGGAAAGGAAAGGAAAGGAAAGGAAAGGAAAGGAAAGGAAAGGAAAGGAAAGGAAAGGAAAGGAAAAGGAAAGGAAAGGAAAGGAAAGGAAAGGAAAGGAAAGGAAGGAAAGGAAAGGAAAGGAAAGGAAAGGAAAGGAAAGGAAAGGAAAGGAAAGGAAAGGAAAGGAAAGGAAAGGAAAAATTATTTTCCCATTCCAAAGGAAAATCTGGGGTTGGGGCTGGACAAACATGAGCTTGGACAGGGCTTGAAGCAGCCTGTGACAGTGGGAGGTGTCCCTGCCCCTGGCAGGGGTGGCCATGGGATGATCCTTGAGTTCCCTTCCATCCCAAACCGTTCCAGAATTCCAGGATTCTGTGAAACCAAGGCTGGTTTGGGGCTGTGCTGCAGTCTGGGCAAGAAACCCTCCAGATGACTTTGAAATGTCATTAAAGTTATTTTTATGCAAGGGGGTTCAGTGTATCTGTTTAAACAGCAAATACACCAAATGATGCTTTAAATATTAATACAGGAGGGTGTCTCACTGAATTTAATTTTCCCAATTGATTTCAAGTTGCTCTGGATAGTACAGGGAGGAATATTTGCTATTTTTGCTGCCTGTGAGAAGAGGCAGGAGGCAAAGAAAAGCTCCTTCTGTACTTACAGGTGGGCTGGGAGGAGGAGAAACTGGAAGGAAAACAAGAACAAGGCAGCCAGTCCCAGCAGCTGGGAAAATGGGGAGGGCACACATGGGGGAAAAAAAATCTATTAATCTTAATTTCAGATTTTCCTTTGCCTGCAGAAAAAAGTGGGAAGAGGAAATAGACCCAATTTATGAAAGCTGATCAAATATGCATTCATCTATTTAATTGGAAATGTTATTAAAGAGTTGCAGGTATGAGCCAGATCTAGAGCCATCAATTTAGATGAGATTTAAATAATTCTCTCCTCTTTCCAAGAGGAGATAAAGGCTCCTGGAATCCCTCCTGCCCTCTCTGCATGGCCCTGCTCATCCCTGTTCCCTGAGAACAGGATGGGCAGAGCCAAAATCCACCCAAACTCCCCCAAATCCAACGTGCAGCCAGACCCCAGCTTCATTTGAGGGAGGAATAATTTACATTTGTCCTTTGGTGCAGTGGTATCACAGAAAAAAAGCCCTGAAGTGTTATAGGAATTTTTTTTTTCCAGCAGTTTTTGATGTCACCAGTGCTGCTGGCAGAGCTTTGTGGGGCTGCTCCTGCTCCACAGCCTTTTCCTGCAGCTTTTCCTGGGGAAAAGAAATCCCAAGCCAGGGAGGGGGAAAAATAATGGATCAAAATGAGAGAATCCCCAGATTTTTCAAGGAATTACAAATTCCAGCTGCTCTCAGCAGTGCTGAGCCCCCAGCTGGATCCAGGAACGTTCAGCATCTCCCAAAATCCAGCTGGATGGAGCTGGGGGGTTCCTGGGGCAGGAATTGTCCTGCTCACCTCGGAGCTGGGCTGGTGGCACACAGAGGAGCCCGTCACGGGGATGTCCCCAAGGGTGTCCCCAAGGAGGGATTTGGGCACCTTTGGGGTTCCAAACCCACCCAGGCCATGCACTCCCAACCACAAATCCACCTCTGGAGCCTTCCCAAATCCCTTCCCTTGGTCCCTTGAGCTTTGAGGAGCCTCATCCCAAACCAGTCCAGCGAGAATAACTCGGATTTCTTGATTTATTCTCCAAAAAACAACAATGGCTTGTTTTATTCAAAGCAAATAGAATTTATGGTACAGCCCCAGCTGAGCCCCCCCACCCCCAATTACAGCCCCAGTCACAACCCAGTTAATTACAGCCCCAATTACAGTGCCAGGAAGATCCACGTGCCTCTTCTCTTTACATTTTAGTGCTTTTAGCAATTAAAAATTATGTGAATTCTGTCTGGAGACAGCAGAACTCGGGTTTCCAGGGAAAGGGATGGACAAGGGTGAGTCCACCCACTCCTTGAGTCTGATTCCACCCCATTCCTTTGGAATTCCTGTTATTTTAACCTTTCCTGATTAAAAACGGCAGGGGATTTTTGCCAATTATTTAATTAATTACAACCTTCGAGGCACTGGGAGCAGGCTCACGAATTTTACATGGTCTCTGTAGTTGGGAAAAGAATAAAATGAAATGTTTTCTTCCAAGGCACTGGTGTGAAGGAGTGGGGTGCTCCCCAAACAGGAGGCAGGGCCCCATCTCCGTCCCTGCTGCAGATAAAGAGCTGAAACACAAACTTGGGCCTACAGGAACACAAAGCAATAGCACAAAGAGCAAAAAAAAAAATTGAGAAATATTTTTTTAATCATCAAATATTTTCTTTAAAAATCAAGTCATTAAAAAAAAAAACAAGTTCTTTAAAAAACTAAGTGATTTCTTTTAAAAATCAAATAATTTCTTTTAAAAAACCAAGTAATATCTTTAAAAAATCAATATATATTCTTTTAAAAGTCTATATATATTCTTTTTAAAGTCAAGTCATTTCTTTTAAAAATCAAGTAATTTCTTTTCAAAATCAAAGAATTTCTTTTAAAAATCAAATAATTTCTTTTAAAAAAACGAAGTAATATCTTAAAAAAAATGAAGACATAGTCTTTTTAAAATCAAGTAATTTCTTTAAAAAATTAAGTCATTCCTTTTAAAAATAAAATAATTTCTTTTAAAAAACCAAGTAATATCTTTAAAAAATCAATATATATTCTTTTTAAAATCAAGTAATTTATTTTAAAAATATCCATTTATTAAAAAATTAAAAAAATAAAAAAATAAAAAACCAAATCAAGTAAGTTCTTAAAAAAATGGGTGTGCAGAGGTGAGGCCATTTGGGTTTGGTCCCAGCAGAGGAGATGGGATTTGCCACGTGTGTGCCCAAACTCTGCTCTCAGGGCATGGTGGCAGTGGTGAGGGCTTCCCAGCCTGAATTATTCCAGATGTTTTGACTGCTGGAATTTGACCTGGTGCCATTAAACCCAGATTTGGAGCCCCCAAACCTGCTGGAGAAAAACCCTACAACAGAAGGAACGGTGCAAACCTCTCACCGCAGTGCGAGGAGAAGGAGGAGGATGCAAATCCCAGAATGAACACCCAAAATTGTTACACCTGGCTTCACCTGGGGACAGTCCAACCACACCAAAACGGGGTTTTATTCGCTTTTTCCCGCCTTGTGCTCGGGGTTGTCCTTCCAGACGCGGATGGTGAGGCAGGTGGCCAGGGCCAGCCAGCCCAGGTAGGGCAGCAGCAGCAGCGCTGCCAGCCCGTTGATGCGGTACCAGGAGCACAGCGTGCCCAGGGCCAGCCCGTCCAGGCACAGCACGTCGATCACAGCCTGGGGACACGCGGGGACACGGCTCAGCCCCGGCTGGGAACCCGGCACGGGGATGGGGGAGCTGGGGCAGGGATGGGGCTGGCACTGGAGTGACCCCAACTGGAGAGACCCCAGCTGGAGAGACCCCAACCGGAGTGACCCAACTCCATTGAGTGACCTCAACCCCACTGGAGGGATCCCAACCCAACTGGAGTGACCTCAACCCCACTGGAGAGACCCCAACCCAACTGAAGTGACCCCAACCCCACTGGAGAGACCCCAACCCAACTGAAGTGACCCCAACCCCACTGGAGAGACCCCAACCCAACTGAAGTGATCCCAACCCCACTGGAGAGACCCCAACCCAACTGGAGAGACCCCAACCCAACTGAAGTGATCCCAACCCCACTGGAGAGACCCCAACCCAACTTAAGTGACCCCAACCCAACTGAAGTGACCCCAACCCCACTGGAGAGACCCCAACCCAACTGAAGTGACCCCAATCCCACTGGAGAGACCCCAACCCCACTGGAGAGACCCCAACCCAACTGAAGTGATCCCAACACCATTTGAGTGACCTCAACCCCACTGGAGAGACCCCAACCCAACTGGAGTGATCCCAACCCCACTTGAGTGACCTCAACCCCACTGGAGAGACCCCAACCCCACTGGAGAGACCCCAAACCCCCAGGACACTTTCCCTGGGCTCTGATCACACCTGAGTGTGTCACACCATGAATAATTAATGTGCTCATCTCTGCTCATGATGGAATCCTGCAGATGAACCCCCTGCCCGTGGCCAACCTGACACAACCTGCTCGTGCTGGTGGCCACGGAACAAACTCTCCAACTCTCCTTTCACCCCCTGGGTGACAAAATCCAGGTGGGAACAGGAATCCCCAGCTGTGCCCCTGTCCCCGCTGGCCCAGCCCGGGTGTGGCAGTGCCAACCCCGCCCTGGCTGTGCCCGATAAGCCCCGGGGAGCTGCTCCCTGCAGGGACACCACGGAGCTGTTGTCACTCAGGGTGTGACCCCACAAAGGACTTTATCTCCCAGCCCGGACCCTTAACTGGGGGTGCAGCCCTGGCAGCGACCCCGATCCCCCAGCCTGGCTATCGGAGCGGGGCGAGGCTGGAGGGGGCTGATACCCTTGTCCGTGGGCAGGAGCGGCTGCAGCTGGGCTAAACCCTCTTGCCCAGCCCCATAACTGCCCTCAGCTCAGCCCCAAAGCGCCCCAAAACCAGCAGGGAAGCCCCATTACCATGCTCAGGTTGCGGGCACCGAAGAACAAGGGTGGCCATGCCCAGTTGAGCAGCAGCTGAGCCCCGTAGAGCCCCAGGGGGACGATGGCCTTGCTGCTGCAGCCACCCAGGTCGCTCCACACCAGGTAGGAGGCGTAGCTGTGGGCAGGGACACCCGTCAGTGCCCGCTGCCACCCTGGGCACCGACAGAGTCCCTCCTGCATGAGCAGTTTCCCCACCAGAGGTTTGCACCAGCAGGATCCACATCGGGCACTGAGCTGCTGGCTGGGAGTGGGGAACAGCTCTGGGCAGGGTTAGGCTGGAGATCAGGGAATGTTCTTCCCTCAGGGATGGGCACGGCCCCGAGGCTGCCACAGATCCCCAGGGATGCCTGGGGTGGGATTTTGGGATCCCCAGGGTGGGATTTTGGGATCTCAGGGATGCCCAGTGTGGCATTTTGGGATTTCAGGGATGCCCAGGGTGGGATTTTGGGATCCCCAGGGTGGGATTTTGGGATGCCAGGGATGCCTAGGGTGGGATTTTGGGATCCCCAGGGTGGGATTTTGGGATCTCAGGGATGCCCAGGGGGAAATTTCAGGATCCCAGGCATGCCTAGGGTGGGATTTTGGGATCCCCAGGGTGGGATTTTAGGATCCCAGGGATGCCCAGTGTGGCATTTTGGGGTGTCTGTGCAGGGCCAGGAGCTGCACTGGATGATCCCCTTGCAGCTCAGGCTATTCCATGATTTCATTCCACGATTCCCTGTCCTTCACTCCTCCCAAACCTCCCCCGTCCCACAAAGTGGCTCCTGCCCATGCCCAGTGCCATCCCCCAGGCTGTGCCATGCCAGGCTCACACCAGGCAGGACCAGGAGCCCCCAGAGCCGGGGCAGAGCCTGGCAGGGCAGTGCCAGGGCCAGCAGCACTCACCCCATGCCCGTGTACAGCATGGTCCAGGCCACGGGGAACACTCTGCGGGACGGGCACCAGGAAGGTTTTTTCAGCTTCTCGTACCACGCTGGGATTTCCTTCCTGTTCAGGAACCAGCCAAGGAATCCTCCGACGTGGGGCAGGACAGTGAAGCCCACGGTGTAAGCCCACATCCTCCCTCGGGGGCTTGGAATCGCTTTTTTCCTGCTCTAAATTAAAAGCAAAATCACAGCATCACTTTTTAAAGGATGTTTTTTCCCCTTGTTTTCATCCTCTAATTCCGTGTTCCACTTCAGCCCCTAAGGCAGACGGAAAGGATTTCATGTGTTCAACCCTCTCTGAAATGGGGATTATTCCTGTCTGGGGTGTTTTCCCCCCTGATTTCCCCACTCTTTGACAGCTCCCTGCAATATTCTGGTGAGGTGGGAGGGTTGGCAGGGTTTCCAACGTGGATTTCTATTTTAATTTCGATTTTAAAAGAGGTCTATGACAAAAAAGTCCTTCCAGCAGCTTGAAGTGCACCAGGAACCCACAGCAGAGAGAACTCTCACCTTGGCACAGGGGGAGGTTCTGAATTTGTTCACGGACTTCCTTTTGTATAAAACCAAAGGAAAATTTCTTTAATAATAAAAATGTTCCTGCACAATGCAGGGTAACACCAGGACACATCCCGAATTCTGTGTCTGTCCTGCATCTTCCTCTGCAGAGCTCCAAACCTGCCGCTCTTCCACCCTCCCCAAATTCCCGTTCCTTTCCAATGCAGGAATGAAACCCCCATTAGCATTCGGCTTGGGATTTCAGCTCGCAATTAACAAATTAACACTCTGCTGCACGCTCAGCTAATTGTCATTATTGTCACCGCACCACGGCGTGGCTGGGAGTGCCAAACTCCCACCTTGCCAAGGAACAAACACCCCTCACCCAAGAATTCTTCACCTGACAATTTATGGCGCTCTCCACAGAAGAGGAAACAACTGAAAATGAGACAAATTCAGTTCTGAAAATGAGACAAATTCAGTTCTGCTTTAAATGTGACCCAGCCCTGCTGAGTTCTGCTCCCCACACACACCACAGGAACGGAATAGGGGAAAATATTGGATTTTCCCAATTCCTTTGGGGCTGCAGAGGTGAAGGAGGGTTGAAAAACCCTTTTTTGCCTCTCAGCTGCCCCCCTGGAGCTGCCTGAGCCTTACCTGGGACGGTGCCTCGCTGCAGCTGGCCGAGGGAAGGGCTGGGACATCCAGGAGTGGCCGTCCCCAAGTGTCACAGCTGGCAGCTGGGTTTGACCCAAATAGCCCCAAACAGCCCCAAACTGGGCGGTGCCGTGGGGCTGCATCAGATTAAACCGGGAGCTCCTGCTGGGGACAGACACCGGGAGTTTGGGGTGGTGGAGCTTGGGGACAGTCACTGGGAATTTGGGGTGGTGGAGCTTGGGGACAATCATTGGGAATTTGGGATGGTGGAGCTTGGGGACAACCACTGGGAATTTGGGGTGTTGGAACCCAGGGGACAATTGTTGGGAATTTGGGATGCTGGAGCTTGGGGACAATCGTTGGGAATTTGGGGTGGTGGAGCTTGGGGACAACACTGGGAATTTGGGGTGGTGGATCTTGGGGACAGCACTGGGAGTTTGGGATGGTGGAGCTTGGGGACAACACTGGGAATTTGGGATGGTGGATCTTGGGGACAATCGCTGGGAATTTGGGGTAGTGGAGCTTGGGGACAACACTGGGAATTTGGGTGGTGGAACCCAGGGGACAATTGTTGGGATTTTGGGGATATTGGAGCCTGGAATTTGGGGTGCTGGATCCCTGGGACAATTGCTGGGAGTTTGGGATGGTGGAGCTTGGGGACAACCACTGGGAATTTGGGATGGTGGAGCTTGGGGACAGTCACTGGGAATTTGGGTGGTGGAACCCAGGGGACAATTGTTGGGAATTTGGGATATTGGAGACTGGAATTTGGGGTGCTGGAGCCCTGGGACAATTACTGGGAATTTGGGATGGTGGATCTTGGGGACAGTCACTGGGAATTTGGGGTGGTGGAGCTTGGGGACAACCACTGGAAGTTTGGGATGATGGAACCTGGGGACAACCACTGGGAGTTCAGGATGGTGGAACCCAGGAGCAATCACTGGGAATTTGGGGTAGTGGAATCTGGGGACAGCCACTGGGATTTTGGGATGCTGGAGCTTCACCATCACATTCAGGGGGTGTCCCTGCCTGGCACACTCATGAGGTGTCCTTGTCACACTCCTGGGGTGTCCCTGCCACACTCCTGGCCTGTCCCACCCTCCTCCAGGCACTCATTAACACCCCAGTAATTAACCCGTTGCTTCCCGGGGCCACCTGTGCGGTCCTTTGGCCGAAATTTCCCTGGCAGGTAAAACGAAGCTGTGGCACGGGTGTGTGAAATGGCAGAGGGAAAAGCCAGAAATCAATTTCCATTAGGGAGCTGTCTGGCAGGGCTGGCAAAATGAAGCACTAATTCCCAGCAGTTCTGGGTCATTACCTGCATTTCATGGAGGCAGGAGCAGGGCTGGCTCCTCGCTCGCTGGGATTTTGCTGCTGCAACAGGAATCAGGAAAATCTCCTCTTTACTGAGCTCCCAAGGAAATTATTTTTTTCATGGCAGGAGAAAGAAAGGGGGAAAAAAAACGCTGTAAAAAGGCAGATTTTCAGCCCTGCTGTGGGTTGGCCCAGTGGAATTCCCACTTCCAGTGACAGCTCGTTAATCACGCCCCAGCCACCTGCACTTCTCCCAGAGCCTGTTGCTATTTGTGCCTGGAAATTTGTGTCATGGAACGAGGCAGCTCCTAAAAGAGCCCGAATGGTTTCCATCGCAGTCAGCCCCCGCTGCCTCCACCATCCCTGGCAAAAAGCCAGACAAAATTTGACCATTTTCAGCTGGAGATTTTTCTCCCCCTTGGGCACGAGCCCAATCCCACAGTTGGCAGGAGAGTGCCCGGGCTGGTTTGGGATTGAGTGTGCTAGAGGATGGAGAAGCTGAGGGTCAGATCCCGAGGATCTGTGAGTGTGTGACACTGGGAATGCTGCTGGTGATGGGGGGACAGAAAAATGAGAGGAGGGAAAACATAACAGAGGGAGTTCCAGGCCTAAAAGTTGTGTATTTGCTGAGCTTTAGGGCAAAGAACAGGATCAGGGAGTCGTGGAATGGTTTGGATGGGAAGGGACCTTAAGGATCACCCAGTGCCACCCCTGCCATGGCTCCCACTGTCCCAGGCTGCTCCAGCCTGGCCTTGGGCACTTCCAGGGATCCAGGGGCAGCCACAGCTTCTCTGGGAATTCTCACCTCCCTCTCAGGGAACAATCCCTTCCTGATTCATTCCCATGGAGACCTGAGTGGCGCAGAAAAATGGGCTGAGATTTGTCCCAGGTGGCTCCCAGCAGGTTCCCATTCCCTCCTGGGCACGAGGGACCTGCCTGGCCTGGAGCCTCTCTCCCCGTGTTTATTGGGTGGGGATGAAGCTGAAATTTGGCAGGAGATGGTGAGAGGGAGGCAGAAAGAGCAGGATCAGATTTGGGAAGCCTTTGGGGGCTGAGCCAGCCTGGAATTCCCTGTGGCAGGAATTCCATGCACAGCCACCGTGAGAGATGTGTACTGTGCCCTCCTGCTGGAGCAGGGAACAGCCCTGGGAATGCTCTGGGAAGGTTTCCTCCAGCACAGCCCTGAGTTTCTCCTCTTCCCACAGATTTACACCTCGATATTGCAGCTTTAGATGATTTCTCAGCAACCCAGGCCGAGCTGAGGCTGCTCTGCAGTGGAACCGAGTCCATCCCAAGGTTGGGAAAGAGCAGGATCAGGTTTGGGAAGATCCTTTAAAGAGCAGGATGAGGTTTGGGAAGATCCTTGAAAGAGCAGGATCAGGTTTGGGAAGAGATTTTGGTGGCACCAGCAGTGCTGGAGGCAGAGTGGGTTCATGTGGCTCAAATCCATGCACAGCCACCCCAAAGGATGAGTTCTGTGCCCTCAGTGCCCCTCCTGCCCTGGGCACGTCCTGGAGCAGGGAACAACCCTGGGAATGCTCTGGGAAGGTTTTTTCCAGCACAGACTTGCTTTTCTCCCCTCAATATTCCAGCTTTGGATGATTTCTCTGTAATCCAGGCCAAGCTGAGGCTGCTCTGCAGTGGAACCCAGTCCCTCCCAGGGCTGGGGACACTCAGGATTTGGGATTTGGGTTGTGCTGCATCCCTGCAGCGTGTGGGACACGCAGGGTTACACATCTGAGCTGTTTGTTTTCCTCCTCCTCTTAGCAACCCCCGCACGTCTCCCCGGAGGTGCTCCCTCCCTGCAAGATTAATTGCTCAAATAGAAAGGCCCTGTTAACCTGAATATATTATTGAAAAGCAGCATATTTCAATCCGCCCTAGATTTGGAAATAGAGATGCCGGGTCAGCTGCTGGCATAAATCTGCAGAGCCGGCAGAGCTTCCCTGATTTACAGCGGCAATAAAAGCCCGGACAGGGATGGGGACTCGCCTGGCTGCCACCAAGGACGTGCCAGGGGACCCTGGTGGCCATCCCTGTGACCTGCCAGCCCGACACTGCGGCATTTCCTTCTGCTGTACTAAAAAAAAAAAAAAAAAAAAACCAAAAAAACCCCAAAAAACAAAGCTTTTTTTTTTTAGCCACCATACTTTTTTGGGGGGGGTTGATTTTGTGGGTTTTTTGGTTGGTTGTTAAAAATTTTTGGTGGGTTTTTTCTTGTTGGTTTTTTTTTGGTTTTTTTTTTTTTTAATGGAAAGGGAGAATGGGGAGAGATGGAAAAGGGGAGATGGAAAAGGGGGAATGGAAAGGGGGGGATGGAAAAGGGGGGGATGGAAAAGGGGGGGATGGAAAAGGGCGATGGAAAAGGGGGGGTGGAAAAGGGGGATGGAAAAGGGGAGATGGAAATGGGGTTGGAGCTGGCTGGAAGAGGCTGGAAGGGGCAGAAAGGGGCAGGAAGGGACAGAAAAGGGCTGGAAAAGGCAGAAAGGGGCTGGAAAGGAGCTGGAAAGGGCCGGCAGGAGCTGCCTCGTGTGATAACGCCGGGCCGGGGCTCGCCCTTATCTGCCCGCAGGAGCCGCTCTGCGGCAGGAGCGAATTCCAGCCCCGGCTCTTTTTATTTTACTTTTATTGTTGTTCGAGGTAAGAACGATGCTCTTCTTACCTCTATCACCAATCACCGATGTTTTTACCCCACGTAGCCCTGCTACAATGCATCTTTTGCAGTTCTAATTCTCTAAAATATCTGGTCTTTTTGCCAAGCCACCATTTAAAACTTACTTTTTAAACTTATTTTTAAAACTTATTTTTAGTTCAATCTGCCTCTCAACAACGTCATCTCTATTCCACGGCCTTCCTCAGTCAGCACACCTTGTTTCAATGTTGGCATCAAGATGTGTAAGGTTTCTATCAGATTTTAAGAATTTTTACAAATCCATTTCTCCCCGGTTCTGCTGCTTGCAGAGGGGCTGATCCCAACCTTGTTTCCCCCAGGTTGGGATGCCAAGCTCCCTGCAGCTCTCCTGGGGCCCTGCAGGAGAATCCCAGATATTTGGGGCAGAAATAAAGCGTGGGATGGATGGACAGGAAAAATAAAACTGCAGAGGAAGGGGATCCTGCCATGGGATCCCAGCCAGGGGTTGAGGATTCCAGACATGTGCCAATGTGGGAAACGTGCCTGGCAGGGAAGGATTCTGTTTAAAAAAGGGGAAATGATAAAAAACAGGAGTGTTCTCCCAGCTCCTGCCCACTCTCTTTCACTTTATGTCCTGGAAATTACCTAGGAAAACCTTTATTCCCACAAAACCTGGGGGATTTGGAGTTTGGAAATCTTTATTCCCACAAACCTGGGGGATTTGGAGTATGAAATCTTTATTTCCACAAAATTTGGGGGTTTTGGGGTATGGAAACCTTTATTCCCACAGAACTTTGGGGTTTTGGTGTATGGAAGGAAATCTTTATTCTCACAAAATTTTGGGGTTTTGGAATATGGAAATCTTTATTCCCACAAAACTTGGGGGTTTTGGAGGTTTGAAAGAGTTTTATTGCCACAAAACTTGGGGGTTTTGGAGTTTGAAAAAGCTTCATTCTCATGAAATTTGGGTGTTTTAGGGTTTGAAAGAACTTTATTCCCACAAAACACAGGGGTTTTGGAGTATGGAAATCTTTATTCCCACAAAACAGAGGGGTTTTGAGGTTTGAGAAACCTTTATTGCCACAAAACTCGGGGGTTTTGGGGCGTGACCCAGTTTTGGAGACATTTGACTGAAATTCCAGCTCCAGATCCACCCTGGCACCAGATCCTGGGTTCTGCTTTGGGGTCGATCCCAAATCTGAATGGCCAAAGGCAAACACTGCACTGATGGTGTGGCCTTAATTATTTTTTTGGTGATTTAATTAGGAGCAGGATCTGGGTTTGGGGCAGGGCACAAAGGGGATTAGGGGAGCAGCTGCCTCTTTAATTTGGGCCATTTCTCCTCCCTTTAAATTCACCCTTTGCTCTCCCAGGGGCAGCTCTGGGAATCCTCTGGAGATCCCAAAGTGGCAGAGCTGGGGGAGGTTATTTATAACCCCCAGTGCCTGGGAGGGGGAAATATCCAAAAAAATCTTTGGATTCTGCTCCTTAATCTGCTCCTGGCGGGTTCTGTGGAAAGCCTGAGCACCCCCTGCTCCTCCTGCAGCAATTTCTGCAGAGCCTCCCTCTCTGCTCTGCTCCCAGCACATTCCCAGGGATTAATTCTGCAGGACCAGGGCTCAGCTCCGGCTGCTCCCGACCATCCTGGCAGGAATCCTGTCCCACCCCCCTGGCATCCCGAAACCCAAGCCCAGGGACCCCTGGGGCGCTGGCACCGCGCTGGCACTGCCCTGGGCATGGGCACAGGGGGGGACAGCTGGGCTGGGGACAGCAGAGCCACCCCCTGGGGCAGCCCCCGGGTCCCACAGAGCCTCCAGATCCTGTTGGAACTCAAAATGTCCCTCAAACATTTCTGGATGTTCCAGGCCCAGGTCAGAAGCATTTGAGACCCTGGCAGGCAGCTGGAAACAGCTGTGATTTTGGGTTTGAGCCATGGAATGAGTTACCAACCTTGCAGGAAGAACAAGAAGTCACAAAATTTAGATATTATAGTAGAAGTAGTCACAAAGTAGAGGGAAGAATTTTTGAGTGCTGTACAGGGGGTTTTGGTTTTGTACATGGGGGTCAGAGGTTTTAAGATGGAGGGATTTTTGGCCGGTCCTGTTCCTCCTCTTTCTCCTTCCTTACCTCCATGTTCTTGGTGATGTTGGCACTCACAGATTGGTTTAGAGTAGAAAAGCACCATTTAATATAGGTAATGGGCATTGGGGAAAAACTGTACCCATGTAACACGTAATGTACCATATAAAAGATAGAAAAGCACCATTTAATATAGGTAATAGGCACTTCCAGGAGTGTTTTATGGCTGAGAACCCTGCTGCTCCTGCCCTGGGGTGGATTTTTCCTTTGTAATTTCCTGTCCTTGTCGTTTCCTACTTGTGTGTGTGGAGGGGTGTGGACACATCAAAGATCCTCAGTTCTGGGCAGGTGAAGCTGCTTGGAAAGCAGAGCCCTGCAGCCTCCCCTCTCCATCCCCAAAACCTCCCCTTTCCATCCTAAAAACCTCCCTCTCCATCCCAACAATTTCCCCTCTCTATCCTAAAAATCCCTCTGGCTCCATCCCCACAATTTCCACTCTCCATCCCCACAGTCTTCCTTTTTCCATCCCCACATTCTCCCTTCTCCATCCCCAAAATCTCTCATCTTCTATCCCCACAATTTCCCCTCTCCACCCCAAAAATCTTTCCCTCCCCATCCCCACAAATTTCTCCCTCTCCATCCCCACAGTCTTCCCTCTTCCATCCTCACATCCTCCCCTCTTCCGTCGCCACATTCTCCCTTTTTCCACCCCCAAAATCTCCCATCTTCCATCCCAATTTCCCCTTTTCCACCCCCAAAATCTCCCATCATCTTCCATCCCAATTTCCCCTTTTCCACCCCCAAATCTCCCATCTTCTATCCCAATCTCCCCTTTCCCACCCCCAAAATCCATCTTCCATCCCAATCTCCCCTTTTCCACCCCCAAAATCCATCTCCCATCCCAATCTCCCCTTTTCCACCCCCAAAATCTCCCATCTTCCATCCCAATCTCCCCTTTTCCACCCCCAAAATCTCCCATCTTCCATCCCAATTTCCCCTTTTCCACCCCCAAAATCTCCCATCTTCCATCCCAATCTCCCCTTTTCCACCCCCAGAATCTCCCCTCTCCCTCTCTGCAGCTCAGGGATGGCACCAGGAGCTGCAGCAGCAGCAGATTTCTCTCCCTCAGCTTTTCATGCTGCAAAAAAAAGCTAAAGGAGTCCTGGGATCCTGGAATTAAGGAGGCAGCTGAGGCTGTGGAGCTCGTGGAGTGAGGAGCAAAGCTCCTGGAAGCTTCTGGAAGCAAACCCTGCACGCAGCCAGGTGAGTTTGCACTCACTGTACCATTTTTATTTCGACACAGATATATATTTTTATATATTATATCATTTAAAAACAGATTATTTGTAAAAAACAAACGGGTTGGGTTTGTTTTTTGGGGTTTTTTTTGTTTTTTGCAGGTCAAAGCCAGCCCGGCGTGTCCCACACAGTGCAAAGGTGACCTGCAGGTCCCTCCTCCCAGGGACAAGCTGAGCATTTCCCCTCTTCTCCCCATGGAAAAACCAGCTTGGTGTCCTTGTCAGAGCCACCAAAAAGTGTCCCTTGGTGCCCTGGGGGACAGCAGGGCTGGGGAGGGGACACGCAGGGCAGGGAAGGAGCAGAGGTGGCAGTGCCTGGGACAGACCCTCCATCCCCCAGGGAGAGGGTGGGATCCAAAACCGCCCTCAAATTGGCTCAATCGGAGCAAAAAGAGGCTCAAAAGGTGTAAAAAGAGGCTCAGGAGGAGGAAAAATTGACTCAAGAGGAGGAAATAAAACTCCTTTGGGATCTCACCCCTTTTCCATGCACTACCCTAAACTCTGGGATGAATTCCTCCTGGATAATTCCTCCTGGATAAATCCTGGATAAATCCTCCTGGATGAATCCTCCTGGATTAATCCTGGATAATTCCTCCTGGATGAATCCTCCTGGATTAATCCTCCTGGATAATTCCTCCTGGAGGAATCCTCCTGGATGAATCCCCCTGGATGAATTCTCCTGGATAAATCCTCCTGGATGAATCCTCCTGGAGGAATCCTGGATAATTCCTCCAGGATAAATCCTCCTGGATTAATCCTGGATAATTCCTCCAGGATAAATCCTCCTGGGTGAATTCCTCCTGGATTAATCCTCCTGGATAATTCCTCCTGGAAAATTCCTCCTGGATTAATCCTGGATAATTCCTCCTGGATAAATCCTCCTGGATGAAACCTCCTGGATGAATCCCCCTGGATTAATCCTCCTGGGTGAATTCACCTGGATAATTCCTCCTGGGTGAATTCCTCCCACCAGCCCAGGAGAATTTCCCTGTCTCTGGGCCCTGCATTCCCCTCCTGGGCAGCACCAGGAAATCCCTCCAGGTCCCTTTTTCCCTTCCCTGGTTTGGGCTGGCAGGGGCAGCGGGGCTCAGCCCCAGTTCAGCACTGCCACAGCCCCAATTCAAGCTTTTTTCCACCCAAAAAGTTGGGAAATCTGAGAGCAGAGGGAGGAGAGGCACTGAAATCCTGAGAGGCTCCTCCCTCTGCAAATCCCCTGAGAAAAACGGATAAAAATGGAATTTTTCCTTTGTACAGCACCTATTGAAGCGTTTTCCCCTCTGTCCTCACGAAGGCTCAGTCCTTTCCCATAAATCGGAAAAATATCCTTTATGGCCTCACAGCTGCAAGGGGAACCTTTAGCTGGGAAATGAAAATAAATGAGCAGCAAAAGCTCTCCCTGATCTGCTGAGGTTCCAGGAGTGTGTCTGAAGTAGTGAATTAAAGCTGATGCACTGATTTTTTTTTCTTTTTTTTTTTTTTCAAGTCCTGCTGGACACAACCCAAGCAGAGAACCAACCATGATTTGTCAATCAAGGGGCTGAAAAAAAGGGAAATAAGCACCGGTGGCTCGTACCCATCGTGGCCAAAAGGCTCCATCTGGTGGCGTTTGCACCCAAAAAGGAGCTGGGGAGGAGGGGGAGCCTGAATCGTGCTGGTTAAACTGGTTCAGAGCAGAGGAAGGGGCTTTAAACTCCAGTTTAAACTCGAGTTTAAACTTCTCCCAAGCTGGGAGAAGAGGTGGCACGATGGGAACGGGAATTTTGGGTGGAGAAATGAACCTGCAAGGGGACAAAGCAGCCAGGGGGGCTCAGGGTGGGCCACAAAACCTGAGCTGTGGCCACAAAACCTGAGCTGTGGCCACCAAACCTGAGCTGTGGCCAAGTTGTGCTGCCCTGCACAGTCGAGCAGGAGTGGGAATAATACAGCAAATATTTTAATGCTTTTTCTCTTGTACAGCCCAGAGCATTCCCATCAGGGAAAAGGGATCCTGCAGGAACAGCCAGGAGCAAAATGACAAGATCAGATATGGAAACAGGCTGAAAAGTTGGTTATTCTGTTAAAAAAAGAAGCAGGGACAGGAGAAATGGGAGTTTTAAAAAATCCAGGCTGGGCAGCTGCAAGGGGAGAAAAGGGAGAGAATCTTCATCTGCAGATAGGCAGGGCAGGGAATACCCAGCTTGAATTTGCAAAAATCAGGAAGGTTTGGGATGGGAGAGAGGAGCTTGCTCCCCTCCTCACCCCAAAATCACTCAGCAGGACCAGGACAAGCCCCTGCCCGGAGTTGCCCCAGGGCTGGGCTGCAGCTCCAGCGCCTCCCAGTAAGAGCCAGGGAGCCCAACTGGGCAGGAGGGGAACAGAGCCCCTGCCTGTCCTGAACCCTGCAGGTTTTAGTGATGGGAGAGCTGCTGGTGCTTCCCAGCACTGCCCCAGGAGCTGCAGGGCTCCAGGCAGGAGGGTTTCCATGGAAAAGGGTCGGGATGTCCGTGGGAAGGCTGGGAAAGGCTCAAGTGCTGGGAAAGGCTCAAGAGCTGGGAAAGGCTCAGGAGCTGGGCTCAGGAGCAGCCCCACTGGGTTTGGCCCTGCTGGGGTTTCCAACAGCTGGAGCAGCCTGGGATCACCCTGGGATTGTCCTGGGATCACCTTGGGATTGCCCTGGAGCAGCCAGGGCTGGGATCACCCTGGGATCACCTTGGGATCACCCTGGAGCAGCTAGGGGTGGGATCAGTCTGGGATCACCCTGGAGCAGCCAGGGCTGGGATCACCCTGGGATCACCCTGGGATTGCCCTGGGATCACCCTGGGATTGCCCTGGGATCGCCCTGGGATTGCCCTGGGATCACCCTGGGATTGCCCTGGGATCACCCTGGGATCACTTTGGGATTGCCCTGGGATCCCTGGGATTGCCGTGGGATCACCCTGGGATCACCTTGGGATCACCCTGGAGCAGCTAGGGCTGGGATCAGTCTGGGATCACCCTGGGATCACCCTGGGATCACCCTGGGATCAGCCTCGGCCACAGGGCTGGAGCTGTCAGTGATGGGGAGGGGGCTCTGCTCCCACCCCAGGGGCACAGGACACAGGCATTGTCACACACAGCCACTGTGTGCCACATTGTCACTGTCACACACAGCCACTGTGTGCCACATTGTCATTGTCACACACTGCCACTGTGGCACCGTCACACCCCTCTGCTCCTCCAGAGGAACCGGGGAGGGGGTCAGGGATGTCCCCTCCCAGAGATGGCCCATCCCAAAGATTCCTTATCTCAGAGATGTCCCCATCCCAAAGACACCCCATCCCAACATGTCCCCTCCCAGAGCTGTCCCCTCCTCAGCAGCTTTTTGAGGCATCAAACCCAACAAAGCAGAGCCCCCCCTTGTCCCCAGTCCTGTCCCGGGGGTGCAGAGACCCCAGACCCCGCAGCAGGAGGCTCCCAGCCCCAGGCCATGCTCTCTCCTGGGGGTTCCTGGGGTCCCCCCGTCCCGGGGGTGTGGAGCAGAGGAGGGGGTCCCCGGTGCCCCCCGGCCCCGTGCCCCGTCAGGGGCTGAAGAAGCGTCGCAGCACCAGGTAGCCCAGCACCACCACGGCTGCCACCAGCACATACTTAATGTAAACATTGTCCAGGGTCTGCACGGCCTCCTGCCAGGGAGGGGACACAGCGGGGTCAGTGCTTGACCCCCAAACCCTGACCCACAATCCCCGACTCCCCCAGTTTCCCTGGCCCCCCTAACCCTAAACACTGCTCCTTGCCCCTAAACCCACCCCCTGTCCCCAAATCGGCCCCAAATCGGCCCCAAACCTGCCCCCAAACCTGCTCCAAACCCGCCCCCAAACCGGCCCCAAACCCACCCCCAAACCTGCCCAAACCCACCCCCAAACCTGCCCCCAAACCGGCCCCAAACCCACCCCCAAACCTGTCCCAAACCCGCCCCCAAACCTGTCCCAAACCTGTCCCAAACCTGCCCCAAACCTGCCCCAAATGTGCCCCAAACTGGCCCCTAAACCCACCCCCAAACCTGCCCCAAACCCACCCCCAAAACTGCCCAAATTGGCCCCAAACCCACCTCAAAACCTACCATAAAACCTGCCCCCAAAACTGCCCCAAACCTGCTCCATGCCTGCCCCATACCCACCCCAAACCTGCCCCAAACCCGCCCCCAAACCGGCCGCAAACCCACCCCAAACCCACCCCCAAATCCGGCCCCAAACCTGCCCCAAACTCACCCCCAAACCTACCCCAAACCTGTCCCCAAATTCACACCCAAACATGCCCCAAACCCGCCCCCATACCTGCCCCCAAGCTGCCCCAAACCCACCCCCAAACCTGCCCTAAACCTGCCCCCAAACCCACCCCGAAACCCACCCCAAACCCGCTCCCAAACCCACCCCAAACCCACCCCCAACCCATCCCCAAATCTGCTCCTAAACCCGCCCCAAACCTGCTCCCAAACCCACCCCCAACCCATCCCCAAATCTGTCCTAAACCCGCCCCAAACCTGCCCCCAAACCCACCCAAAACCCACCTCCAACCCATCCCCAAATCTGCTCCTAAACCCGCCCCAAACCCACCCCAAACCCACCCCAAACCCACCCGAAATCTGCCCCACACCCACCCCAAACCGGCCCCAAACCGCCCCTGCTCACCCATCCTCCCTGCTGGGCGATCCAGCGGGCGATGCGGTTCTGCAGCATGAAGTCCCCGACGTAGCGCGCGATGCGGCGCAGGAAGCCGCTGACGCCGCGCTGCCACACGTGCATGGCCATGCGGTAGCCAAAGGCCAGCAGGGCGATCACCCGGCCCCAGTTGATGCCACTCTCGAACAGGCTGCAACAAAAGCAAAAAAATCCCTGAATTCCTGCCCCAAATCCCAGCTCGGAGCTGCCCGGGCAGGGGGAGCGCGAGCAGCGGGGTCGACATTGAGAAACGGCCCCAAATTCTACCAGGAAAAGCTTAGATTGGCTATTATGGCAGAATTTTTTTCTCTGGAAGGTTTGCCCAGCCTTGGAACTGCTGTCTACACCAGGGAACGTTGAGGAGTGGAGTCAACACTGAGGAAACGGCCCCAAATTGTACCAGGAAAAGCTTAGCTTGGGTATTATGGAGAATTTTTTTCTCTGGAAGGGTTGCCCAGCCTTGGAGCTGCTGTCTACACCAGGGAACGTTGAGCAGTGGAGTCAAAACTGAGGAAACAGCCCCAAATTGTACCAGGAAAAGCTTAGATTGGATATTATGGAGAATTTTTTCTCTGGAAGGGTTGCCCAGCCTTGGAGCAGGCGTCTACACCAGGGAATCTTGAGCAGTGGTGTCAAACGGCCCCAAATTGTACCAGGAAAAGCTTAGCTTGGATATTATGGCAGAAATCTTTTCACTGGGAGGTTCTGCAGCCCTGCCACAGCTGCCAGAACACCCTCCCTGGGCAGATGTGACAGCCACACAACTGTGGCCCTTGGGGACAGGGTTTAGTGGTGGCCTTGGCCGTGGACTCTGAGAGGACTTTCCCAACCCAACCCATTCTGTGATTCCGTGGCTGGACCCTGGGGATGCTGCAGCAGCCCTCGAGGCTCATCCCAGCCACACAGAGATTTTGTGGCTGGAAGAGGCTCCAAAATGTGTCACTCGATGCTCTTGCAGGGTTTGGCACTGATTATTTACACCAGGTTTGGAAGGTGCTTTTCCTGGCTTCCAGCAAGAAGGGGAAAAGGCAATAAAAGAATAATAATAAGAATAAAGTGAAGGTTTGTGGTTCAATCTGCTGCCCTGGGCTGGTGGCCCCTGCCTGGCTTGGAGAGGGATGTAGAGCCTGGGAAAGGACACACAGAGCAGGTGGCATGAGGACAGGGACAGGGGGAATTTCACCTGTGTGTGACAGGGACAGGGGTAAATTCACCTGTGTGTGATGAGGGGAAGGACGAGGTTAATTTATTTTACCTGAATTTGACAAGTGTGACAAGGAGTGGGACAGGGGTTAATTTAATTTACCTGAGTGGGACAGGGACAGGGACAGGGGTTAATTTCATTTATCTGAGTGTGACAGGGACAGGGGTTAATTTAATTTACATGAGTGTGACAAGGGTTAATTTACCTCAGTGTGACAGGGACAGGGGTTAATTTAATTTACCTGAGTGTGACAGGGACAGGGACAGGGGTTAATTTACCTGAGTGTGACAGGAATAGGGAAGGGGTTAATTTAATTTACCTGAGTGGGACAAGGACAGGGGTTAATTTACCTGTGTGTGTTGCCGCCTCAGCCAGCGCGGCTTCCCAGACAGGGGAGCAGGAAAAGGACAGAAAGGAAGGAGTTAAACACCGGAGCAAAGAAGGAATTAGACACGAGCAGAGGGCACAGGGACAGGGCTGTCACAGCCAGAGGTGTTTGGAGGAGTGGCAGGAGCCCAGAGACCCGTCCTGCCTGTGCCAGGGGCTGCCTGGCCTGGCTGGACATTTCCCTGCAGACAGAACCCCTCGATCCCCCCTCGATCCAAGCTTCCCTGGGAAATCCTGGCTGGAGTTTTCCAGGGCTGTGCCCTCACTCCTCACCTGGCACTGTGCTTTGGGTGGCTGTCACCTGCACCAGGCTCTGTGTGTCACCTACACGAGGCTCTGTGTGTCACCTGCAGGTTCTCTGTGTGTCACCTGCAGGTTCTGTGTGTCACCTGCAGGCTCTGTGTGTCACCTACATGAAGCTCTGTGTGTCACCTGCAGGTTCTGTGTCATCTCCAGGCTCTGTGTGTCACCTGCACCAGGCTCTGTGTGTCACCTGCAGGTTCTCTGTGTCACCTCCAGGCTCTGTGTGTCACCTGCAGGTTCTGTGCCACCTCCAGGCTCTCTGTGTCACCTACACGAGGCTCTGTGTGTCACCTACACGAGGCTCTGTGTGTCACCTGCAGGTTCTCTGTGTCACCTGCAGGTTCTGTGTCACCTCCAGGCTCTCTGTGTCACCTACACGAGGCTCTCTGTGTCACCTGCAGGCTCTGCCAGCCCGTGGAGCAGCCCCCATATCGATGTGTCCATGAGGACCAGCTTGGGTGGCAGCTCTGACCACCTCATCTCGTGTGTGGCCTCCTGCCCATGGCAGGGGCTGCTCTGAGATGATTTTCAGGGTCCCTCCCGGCCCAACCATTCCATGATTCCGTTTTCTCAGTGACCATCCCACCTCCAGATGTGGAGTTGTGGCTGAGGTTGTTCCCTGGCACGTCCCAGCCTGGAGCAGGGCACAGCAGGAGCTGGTTGTGCCCTTGAGGGGGAATTGGGACAGGGGTCCCAGGGACATCCCCTGACACACCCCAGCCTGTCTGTGTGTCACCTACACACATCTGGGAGGGCTGGGAGGGGACAATGACAGGAGCAGTGTGCAGGAGGAGGAGCAGCCAGGCAGAAGACACGGGAACCATCCTGGGCAGCTCACTGGGAGCTCGGCCAGGGCTGGAGAGCGAAGATCAAACGGACAGAGCGGGTTTAACCAACAGCACCGAGCACACCCGACCTCCCCTTCCCTTCCAGCCCACCCCAGGAGCTCCCAGGGCTTTACCTGGAGGCAATCCTGGTGAAGTGCTCGTAGGCGTTGTCGCGGGTGGGCTGCAGGCTCTCCAGCATGGTGCGGAACTCGGCGTCGTAGCGCTTGTAGATGTCATCGCCGATGATGGCCAGGCGCTGTCCCACCTGGCTCTCGGTGCTGCGGGGCCGGCAGGGAGTCAGGCCGGGCTGGGCGGCGTGGGGCGAGGGGCAGGAGCGGGATTTACCTGCACGGGTCCTGCTGGAGCTGCTCGATCTCGGGGTCGCGCGGCAGCTCGGCCCCGCGCTCCTCGCGCTCCTGCTGGTAGCGGTAGAAGGCGAAGCTCCGGAACACCTCCTCGGCCTCCTCCGCCACGCGGCCCTCTGCGCAGCAGCGGGGACAGCGCTCAGGGCCTGCACGCCTCTCCCTCCCCTCCCCGGGTTTGGAGGAGGTTGTTCCCACAGAACCTTCTCCAGACCCGCACACGTCCCCACGGAATCGTCCCCAGACCCACACATTGGTCCTTGTCTCCACACGAACCTCTCCAGACCCACACATATCTCCACACAACCCTCTCCAGGCCAAACATGTGCCTCTGCACCCTCACAACCATCTCCAGACCCACACATTGGTCCTTGTCTCCACAAAACCTTCTCCAGACCCACACATATCCCCACACAACCCTCTCCAGACCCACACATTGGTCCTTGTCTCCACACAACCCACTCCAGACCAAACATGTGCCTCTGCACCCTCACAACCCTCTCCAGACCCACACACATGTCTCTGTACCCTCACAAATGCTCTCCAGACCCACACATTGATCCCTGTCTCCACACAACCTTCTCCAGACCCACACATATCCCCACACAACCCTCTCCAGACCAAACACGTGCCTCTGCACCCTCACAACCCTCTCCAGACCCACACATTGGTCCTTGTCTCCACACAACCCTCTCCAGACCCACACACGTGTCTCTGCACCCACAGAACCATCTCCAGACCTAAACAAATGTCTCTGCACCCACACAACCTCTTCCAGACCCACACATGTCCCCACAGAATGTTCTCCAGACCCACACATTTGTCCTTGTCCCCACACTAACAGCTCCAGACCCATACATGTGGCTCTGCCCCCTCATAAACATCTCCAAACCCACAGAACCTTCTCCAGACCCACACATGTCCCCACAGAACCTTCTCCAGACCCCCACACTGCTCAGGGACACGGCCAGGACCAGCCCCCTGCAGCAGGAACCCCTCGGTGTCATCCCTCATCACACATTCCATGGCTCTGGGGGATGTCCTTGATTAGAGCTCGGTTTCAGCAGCTCCAGAAGCACCTGGAGAGGGACAGTGGCTCCCACGGCCCCACTGAGTGACCCCACAGGGACCAGGAGCAGCAGCTCTCCAGAATCTGCATTTCCAACCTGAGATCTTCCTGCACGGCTGGGAAGTGAAGGCACAGCTGTGCTGGCAGTGCTGCCCCACAAACCCCATCCCCAAGCCCCCAAATCACACCAAATCCTCCTCACAGGCTTTTTTTCCCAGCTGCTCCCACCTCCCTGTCCCACATGGAGCTGCCGAGCTCAGATTACAGCAGCAGAGCTGAAGGGAAAGGACAGCTCCTGTCACTTTCCAGGGGTTACTTTCTGTTTTCAAACACGGGTTTGTTTGGTGACAAACAAATCCTTCACCTTCCAGGAACTGGAGTTGGTGACACTCCAGAGAGAACCAGAAAACGAAATCAACTGAGTCAGAGTTTCAGGGAGAGGAGGGCAAACACTCAGCCAGACACAAGAGGAAATCTCTGCACTAAAATAATCCCTGGAGCTGTTTTTAGTAACACCACAACAGGAGGACACATTCCCCCTTCCCACGGGTGCCACCCCCACTGGGATTGTCTTGGAATCTCTCCCACCCAAGGATTTGGATCAGGGTTTGCCTGGTGGGTTCCCAGTGCCAGCAGTGCCAAGGGGAGGTTTGGAGCTGCTCAGGGATCTCTGGAAGGAAGGAACTGCTCCATGTCTGTTCCATGTCTGCTCCCTCCATCCCCAGCTCACTCAGCATTGGGATCCACACCCTGCACCCACAGCACTGCCCCGATCCAGAGAGCCCCAAACCTTCAACACTTGCATTTCTTCCTGAGCTCCTTCATTTCTCACTGCTCCCATCTCCCAGGAGCAGCTGTGCTGTGGGGAAAAACTGGCAGCTGTGGCCAAAAATCTCCATCAGCCCCAAAAAACCACTCCAGGCAGTGACAGGGACTCCCAGGCAGCTCCCAGCAGCTCCCAGCACTTTGTTCTCTCCCTGCCTTCAATCCCACCTTGCTGCCCATCCAATGCCAAGCCCACAATCCTTGATTATTTTGGGTGGAAAAGAGTCTCAAACCCTGTTCCACCCAGGGACGCCTCCCTCTAGACCAGGACGCTCCAAGCGCCTCCCAGTTCAATCCAGTTCCTTATCCCAGGCTTGCAAAAAGCCCTGGAGACAGGAAATCCCGTCTTGCCAAAGGAACACAGCCGGGGAATGAATAAACAAGCAAAGGTTTGAAGCTGCTCCCCCCCCTGAGCACCCCAGAACCCTTTACCTGAGCTGAGCCTGCGCCTTTGGCTCCCCCGGCGCCCCTGATCCTGCGGAGGGTCCCCCTCATTCCCCGAGGCCATCGCAGAGAGGTTTGGCAGTGGCAGCTTCACCTGGAGGGTGATGGAGATGCTGAGTGGTGGAGCTCTGTGGTCCCTCAGAGCCCAAGGATCAGAGCCCTCTGCTTTTATCTCTGCCAGGGCTGGCTCCTCCCTTGGGCACACTCCTTCTGTACCTACCGTGGCACCAGCTCCTCTCCCACCCAGCTGGATTCACCCTCTTCAAGGATCTCATCACAGAAAGGACCTCACACCTCACACACATGATAATAGACTTCCTTCCTGCTTCTAAGAGAGCTGTGGGCTGCACCAGCTTCTCCTCAGCCCAGACCACAGAGGTTCATAAAAAGCTGTAAAAAAAATTCCAGCACTCCGGGACTCCCCGGCTGCGACCACACGAGGTGAGCCCTGATTTTCTCCAGCACTCATTTCCTCTAACTCCCCTTGTTCTTTACATTTCCCCTCTCAGAAAATAAGGAAATTAAATGAGAACAAAACACAAAGCTCATCTTTTCCCTGAAGCTCGTAGGTATCCTAAACCTGCAGTTCAGGGCTCATCAGAGCTCCTCAAGGCCACAAAGTTCCTGTCAGGATTAACGGGATCAGGGCAGCTCCTGGCTGCTGTCTGACATTCCAGAGCACATTCCCAGCCCACACTTCAGCAGGGCTGAGCTGATTTGCACCAAGCCTGAACTCACGGATGAAACACAATTCCTGACGCCCCGAAATTTAAATTGCATCCTGGGCAAAAATAAAGGAAGAGCTGGCTAGGGATAAATAACCACCCATGGGTATGGGAGAAGTGCACAAGGTGGTTCAAGCTCGTGGCATCACACTGGAGATTGCTCAGAAGGAAAAAGAAATGGGAGACAGGAAGTACAGCCCATTTTCCAAGGGATGGGGCCTGGAAGTGCAAAGCTTGGAAAACCACGAGGTCCTGCACAGCTGCACTCAGGGCCTGAGCCTGCTGACCAGGATGGAAATGCTGGTTTTTCCTACACTCCGAGGATGGGAGGACAGGATTTCCCCCTTCCTCCCCAAACTCAAACACCCCCAGCCAAGGAAGAGCTGAGAACGCAGTGAGGATCATCAGCTGGGGCCAGGGGTAAATCCCTGGGTAAATCCCAGGGGTAAATCCCAGAGCTGCCTCTCCTGGCTCTCAGAATCACAGAATTCCCTGTCCTGGGGTGATGCAGATCCCCTGGGATGGTTCAGATCCCCTGGGATGGTGCAGATCCCTTGGATGGTGTCCATCCCCTCCTCCACTGAGGAGCCTCCTGTGCTTCATCCTCTGCCCATCCCAGGCCATGCCTGAGCCCACCTGCTCTGGGAGGACTCAGAGCTGTTCCCAAGTGGGAAACAGTGGGAATTTCCTCTGGACCCCACAGTGCCACTGCTCAGGTGGCACAGGATGCTGGGCAGGGTGTGGGCACACCCAGCAAAGAGCTCAGGAGCCTCTGGAGCTTTTCCAGCTCGGCCTGTGGGGCTGAGGGCTGTGTCCCAAAGCCACCCAGGGCTGCCCAGGGGTGGCAGGGACTTTTCCTGCCTGGAATGAGTGAGGGCCGTCAGGAGCAAGGACTTTGTAGCACAGAAACCCAGAGGAAGATGACTCATGACTTTCCACTTGAATTTCATTTTGAACCCTGCGGGAACTTTTGTTTTCGGTTTCCTTCTGCGCCCTGGCAGGGCTGTTTTTCGCCATCTTCACGGTGACACATGACGCTGCAGCCCTATCACTGCTGTCCCCACCCTCTGCCGTCCCCAAATGCCCATTCTCCCAAAATCTCCCTGTCCCTGCAGGGCTCAGAGTGCTTCGGACCATCCTCTCCGGGTTCCAGAGCTGCTGCTTCCCATCTTCCCCATTCCACCTTTGGTACGGGAACAGGGAAGGGTGTGAAGGAGGAGGTGACACCCAAACACCCAGAGACAGCCCGGGGCTGCAGGAAATGAAAACCCTCCAAGATTTGAGTCAGGGCTCAAGGGAGGGTGTCAGGGGAGCTGCACGGTCTCATCCACCCTACCAGGGTCCTGTAGGAGGCTGCAAGGGGTTAAAAGCAGCTGCAATCCTATATTCAAGCTCTGGGATCACCCCCTGACATGTTATGAATGCCAGGAAATCGATGGGGAATCCCCTGGGATGAGCCTTTGGCAGCGATTCCTCCCGGGCCAGCGATCCCGCAGGATTCCTGACCCCATCTCTGCCCGGTCAGCGGGGCCAGGGCCAGCTTGGGGGGTGCCCAGTTCGGTGGGTGCACAGTTTGGGGGTTGCCCAGTTTGGGGGTTGCACAGTTTGGGGGTGCCCTGTTCGGTGGGTGCCCAGTTCGGTGGGTGCCCAGTTCAAGGTTTGCCCAGTTCAGGGGTTGCACAGTCTGGGGGTTGTACAGTTTGGGGGGTGCCCAGTTCGGTGGGTGCCCAGTTTGGGGGGTGGCACAGTTTAGGGGTTCCACAGTTCGGGGGTTGCACAATTCGGGGGATGCCCAGTTTGGGGGTTGCCCAGTTTGGGGGTGGCACAGTTTAGGGGTTGCACAGTTTGGGGGTGCCCAGTTCGGTGGGTTCCCAGTTTGGGGGGTTGCACAGTTTGGGGGGTGCCCAGTTTGGTGGATGCTTGGGGGTGGCACAGTTTAGGGGTTGCCCAGTTTAGGGGTTGCCCAGTTCGGGGGTTGCCCAGTTCGAGGTTTGCCCACCCAGCAGGGCCCCAGGGTGGGCACACGACCCCCAGCACCCACCCAGCCGATGTTGCCCCCCAAGCCGCGCCCGTGGCCGCGGGTCCCCTGGCACCACCGCGGCGTAAAAAGCCCGGCTGAAGAAAATACGGTTAAATGAGGGGAAATTCCCTTTTTGGGGCGGGTAAATTCCCTTTTTGGGGCAGCGACCCGCTCGGAGCGGCACCTCCAGCCCTGACCCGGGAGTTTCCCGCACCCAAATTGTCACCCTCCCGTACCCCCGGACCCCCGCACCCCGCGGCTGCCGCTCCATCCCGGCCCGGAAAACAGGGATAACCCATCCCAGGAGAATCCGGGCAGGGGGAAGAAAAGAAACGGGGGTACCCTCGGTACTCACCGCGTCCCGCTCGGGATATCCCGGGAGCTACCGCATCCCTGCCGGGATCCGCTCCATCCCTCCGGCCGCTCCCTTCCTGCGCGGCCAAAGGAAGCGCGAGGAGGAGGAGGAGGAGGGAAAAAGAAAAGGAGGGAAGAGGAAAAAAAAAAAAAAAATCAAGTAGAAACCCAACCGCACTGACCATAGATAGAGCCGCGCAGGGTTCAGCTCCCTCTAGAGGCACCAACCCCGGAGTGGAGCAGCGCAGAGCACCGGCGGCTTTTTGGGGGGTTCTTGGGGCTCCTCTTTTTTGGGGGGTTCAGGGGACGCTGAAGAGGATCGGGGGATGCCGGTGCGGGGTTGGCACCGCACACCCCGTGTCGCCCCCGAGCCCTCCCGGGGATCCTCGGCTCCTCCTTGGCTTCTCCAGCGGTTTTGGGAGCTTTTCCCTACCTTAAATTCGCCCTCTGCCAGGTTCCAGCCTGGTTAAAGTAACGATTTGAGAGTTTCTGGTTCCTGGGAGGGAAACTTGTATCGATCCAAGAGGAAAAATAAATAGTCCCCGGTGGCAGAGGCGGCTCCCACCGAGTGCCTTTGGGAATTCCAAATCCGTGGAGATTTGGGGGCAATCCCAGCAGCTCGAGGAGAGATTCAGGCCTGGAGGGCTCAGCAATCTGCCCCAGCTGCTTTTCCTCTCCTCGCTCCTTGGGTGGCTGCCAGGGCTTTGCTGGGGCTGGAAAATGCCAGATAAGCAGCAGAGCAAAGCAGAGCCCGGGTGCTGATATCACATCACCTCTCTGCCCCATGGCAGGAGCGCTCTCAGGGCCCCACGGGACCTCCTCTGCATCGGAGACAGGGGTTTTGGAATTCTTGGCTGAGCTTTTCCAGGGAAAACCAGTCCCTGGCTGCAGAGGGTCCTGCTCTGGCTCCCTCGGAGGTCTGGGGACATGGCCTGGAAATTCTGCTGAGGGTGGGGCTGTACTGACAGTGCAAAACAGCTGCTGGAGGGGGAAAAAAGGGATTCCCACAGTGGCTGTCCTTCAGGGAAGGAAGATCATCAAGGAGCGAGGAATCAGCTCGTGGGGGCTGTGCCCACCAGGCTGTGCCTTCCTCCCAGGGGTCCTGAGCAGCTTTGTCCCATGTCACTGCAGCCACCCGGACACTGCCCTGCCCGAGGCTGCAGCCCTGGGAAAACAGCGCTGGGAATGTGATGAGGGGCTGAGGGAGCAGCAGGTCCTGGCAGGGTGACACAGCGGTGACAGAAGTGGCAGGAACCACTGCCAGGATGGATGGAGGAGGTTTCATCTCCCACCAGCTCCGTGTGCCCACGGGGACGGTGGTGCCAGCCCTGAGCCAACGCTTTCCATGGGCTCTGATGCTGAGTGGGAGAAGCAGCAGCTCCTGGAAGGTGAGGGAAGGGAAATCCCCCCTCACCCTTGACTCGAGGGTTGCCTGGCAGTTGGGAGAGGAGCCCTGAGGAGTGAGTGGACATGGAAAGCACCCAGGCGGTGTGGGAGGCTGGGGCACCTTCCAAATTCAGTGTCCAACATGCCCGGAATGGGTCCCTTGGCTTTGGAATATCTGGAGCTGGCACAGGATCCTCTCTCAGCCACTCCTGAGAGTTCAATTCCCACACGAGGCAGGGGAGGTGACAGCTCAGGAGAGTCATTGGGGGGTTTTTTGGGCTTGTTTTGATCAGCAGGTAAAGGTGCAGGGCCCCCAAAAGCAGAGGTGTCCCCGGGGAAGAGGCTCTGGAGCACGAGCAGACAGCGAAAGACTTCGGACAAGGTGGGTGAGAGGATGGGGAGAGTGGGGGATGCTGCTGAGGAGGGTCCCAGTGCCCCTAGGCCTTGGAAAAAAGGTGTAAGGGTGGAGAACCATGAGCAAAACTGATCCCAGCTCTGCCCTGTCAGAGGCTGTGCCCCCCAGGGGTGTCCTGGAGGTTCTTCCATCCCTCCATGGCCCTTCCCAGCTGAGGAGGGAATAACCTTGGGATGGGCTGACCCTTGGCTTTTGGGACTGCTTGGCCCATCAGTGCCAGGGTAACCTGAACATTCCAGGAGCTCTGGGTGATGAAATTGCGTGGGCTGGGGGCAGAGGGAAAGGTTTTCTCCCAGAACTGACACTCTGCTGGTGTCAGTTCCATCAGGAGAGAAATTAACTGCCAGGGGCAGGGCTAGACAGGATTTTAGGAGAAATTCCTCTCTGTGAAGGTGGGCAGGCCCTGGCACAGGTGCCCAGAGCAGCTGTGGCTACCTCTGGATCCCTGGGAGTGTCCAAGGCCAGGCTGGAGCAGTGGAATGTGTCCCTGCCCATGGCAGAGGTGGCACTGGAGGAGCTTTAAGGTCCATTCCAATCCAATCCATGCGAGGATTCTGTGGATCTGAATCTCCTCGGAGCACCAGGTGGCACTCTCCGACTTCCCAGCGAGCCGAGCTGAGCCGGGCTAACCCGGCTGGCAGGGACAGCACGATGGGACAGTGACAGACGGGTCAAAGGGGTTTTCCAGGGGGTTTTTGGGTGGGTGGATTCACCTCCTGCACCTTCAGCAAATCCCAGAATCGTAAAAATCCCAGAATCGTAAAAACCTCCTGGAGCTGCTTAATCACGCTGGGTTTGGGAATCCAGAGCAGCCAGCACAGCCAGCTCATGTTTCCCAGGTGCTGGAAGAGCTGCCAGGCTGTTTAGGACAAAATTCCCCACAAATCCACCTTTGATAATCTGCTGTACAAACACGGGAAGAGGGAGAGGCTGTGGGAGGGCTGAAAAATCCACTCAGGTAGGAATCCAAGGCATCCTGTGCTGGGGGCGAGTCCTGAGGCTCAGCAGCCTGGAAAGGCTCCCAGATCCTCAGAGCATTCCCAGGCCATTCCCAGCTCTCAGACCATTCCTAGACCATTCCCAGCTCTCAGAGCATTCCCAGCCCTCAGAGCATTCCCAGGCCATTCCCAGCCCTCAGACCATTCCCAGACCATTCCCAGCTCTCAGACCATTCCCAGCCCTCAGAGCATTCCCAGCTCTCAGAGCATTCCCAGACCATTCCCAGCCCTCAGAGCATTCCCAGGCCATTCCCAACCCTCAGAGCATTCCCAGGCCATTCCCAGCTCTCAGACTATTCCCAGACCATTCCCAGCCCTCAGAGCATTCCCAGCTCTCAGACCATTCCCAGCCCTCAGAGCATTCCCAGCCCTCAGAGCATTCCCAGGCCATTCCCAGCCCTCAGACCATTCCCAGACCATTCCCAGCTCTCAGACCATTCCCAGCCCTCAGACCATTCCCAGACCATTCCCAGCTCTCAGACCATTCCCAGCTCTCTGAGCATTCCCAGCTCTCAGAGCATTCCCAGCTCTCAGACCATTCCCAGGCCATTCCCAGCCCTCACAGCATTCCCAGGCCATTCCCAGCCCTCAGAGCATTCCCAGCTCTCAGAGCATTCTCAGCCCTCAGAGCATTCCCAGCCCTCAGAGCATTCCCAGACCATTCCCAGCCCTCAGAGCATTCCCAGGCCATTCCCAGCCCTCAGAGCATTCCCAGCGCCGGTCACGGGCCGGAGGAGCTGCTGGCAGCGCAGCCCGGGCTAATCTGGGAATTGTATGCCAGGAAGGGCACACCCAGCCGGGACAAAGGCTCTGCTCCACGCTCCAGCGCTCCCGAGCTTCCCCCGGAGCCGTCCCGGGGCCTCTCCTGCTCCCTGCCCAGCCTTGGCCACCTGCTCCAGGTGTGGGGACGGAGTTTGGTGACACCTGGATGCTCTCCCGGCCACCTCGTGCTCCTGCCCATCCCTGGGGAACATCACAGCACGGGGATGTAGCCCCCAAACCACCCTGGTCAGCCTGAAACTGGGGCTGGGAGAGAGATGCACGCCCTGGTTGTCCCCAGGGTGTTTAATCTGGACCCTGACAGTGGCAAATTCATGTGGCCACCGTTGTTTTCCTGCTGGTGTGGTTTAACCGAGCTGCCCCTTCCCCTGATGCCTTCCCAGGTACCAAAACTCTCCGTCCTTGACACATCCTTAGAAGCCTTGAGCTCCAAATAGACTCCAGGCTGTGCAAAACCGCTGGAGATTTCCCGAAGCTGGAGAAAATGTGGGGGTTATTATTAGCGCTCAGCCTCTGCCAGGACAAGTGTCAAACACGGCGGAGGTGTCGGGAGGAAGGGTTTGAGTCACTGCAGGGCAGCTCCTGGCGGGGTTCTGGGCACCTCTGAGGGTGTCACCTACTGAGAGGAGCCTGGCAGGGACAACCAGGCCTTTCCACAGCGTCACCATGGGGCATTGTCCCTGTGGGAAGCAGGCACACCTCAGCCAGGCTGTGCTGGTGTGGGAATCCAGGGCTTCCCTCTGGCTGCCCTGGCAGGTCTGGGACCCTGGCAGGGGTCAGGAACCCCCCTGGACAGAGCCCCCAGAGACACTGGCTGTGATCTCTGTCCATGGAAAAGAGTTTTCAATCTTACAGGATGAATTACCAGCTCTGAGTGTTTGATATAAGTAATAATTAAGTGTGGCACGGGTGCAAAAGTAAAATTTTAGGATTCTAGATTAGGGGTCCAAAGGGGACAAGATGGAGGAATTGGGAGTGTCTTGTCCTTTTTCTCCTTCTTCATGCCCTCCATGTTTCACTGTGGTGTTGGCATTTTTCTGTTGGTTCAGGCTGGGGACACACTGTCCAACGTAGGTGACAGATATTGGCATGTTATTGTAAATCCAGCACAGGTAGTTTGTGGTATTTAATGTTTGTACCATCCCACTGAGGGCAGAGCCCCACACGCTGCCCTGCAGGACAGAGCTGCGGCAGGGCAGCAGAACATGTTAGAGATAAACAGAATAAACAACCTTGAAACAGCACAGACCAATTATGGCTTCTGCTTTGGCAGCGGGGCTGACAGACAGAGACTTTCTACAATCTCGGAATCACCAATGCCCACAGATTCCGACATGCTGGGGAGCTGCTGTGCCCTCTGAGGTCACTTGTCACCCTGGCGCGGCTGCAGGTGGTGCTGCCACATCCTGCTGGCAGTATTTTAGAGCAGCTCTTTACAAACATGGCCTGTGCATGATGAAAAGCCTCTGCCAGCCTCGCTGGCTTCTCCCGTGCCAATGGAAAACCGGGATGCAGCGCTGGAGAACTCTCCCAGCTGTGGAGGTGGATGGGCTGGTGGGAAGGCT